AATGTTATAGTCATTTGAGGTCCTTTTCATTTCTATAGAAATTTTAGAGTCACTTTGTCAATTTCTACCAAAAAAGCCTGCGGGGACTTCCATAGGGACCGCACTGAGTGTCAGCCAGCTCTGGCGCCCTGATAGCGCAGCGGCCTCCAGCCCCCGGCACAGCATCCTCCTCCACGCACCGTCACTGGGCTTCCACGGGGGCCGCACTGAGTGTCGGTCAGCTCCGGCCTGACAGCGCAGTGCCCTCCAGCCCCCGGCACAGCATCCTCCTCCACGCACCGTCACTGGGCTTCCACGGGGGCCGCACTGAGTGTCGGTCAGCTCCGGCCTGACAGCGCAGTGCCCTCCAGCCCCCGGCACAGCATCCTCCTCCACACACCGTGTCACTGGGCTACCTTTCATGTCTCTCTGAAACCTTGCCATTTCCAGTTACAGATCTCATACATTTTTGTTCATTTATTGCCAAGGATTTCGTGTTTTTGATGCCATTGTAAATGGTATGTACTTCCAAGTGTTCACTGCCAGAATGCAGAAATTAAACCAATTTATGTATATTTTCCTTGGGTCCTGTGAACCTAATCAACTCACTTAGTTCTAGTGGCGTTTTCCTGATTCTTCGGGATTTTCTGCATAAACAACTTCATCATCTCCAAGGACAAGTATATCTCTGCCTTTCCAGTCTGCATCCTTTCTTTCTTTTCTCACCGCATGGTGTGGGCTCGGACCTCCGACGCTGCACGGCAGGCGTGAGCATGCAGAGGCCTCTCTCGCCTTGTGCAGGGCAACGCTGTGGTCCCCACTCCATCTCATGCTCAAGTTCTACAAATGCTTCTTCTACATCTATTGAGATGACCGTGTTGTCCTCTTTATTCTACTAAAATAGCAGTTGCATTAATTCATTTTCTGAGGATAAGCACCCTGTACTCCTGGGATGAACTCACTGTCCCTCCATTTGTCCTATCAGCTCTCTCAGTTATTCCTTTTCCCAGTGCCCCCCGGCAGCCTGCCTAGGCGAACACAGATGTAATGAGGTGCCTCCTGGTGCCCACCACCATGCAGTACTTCCAGATCTTCCCCAACAGACCACACTGCTCAGGGGCACGCCAAGCACCTCACAGTTGTCCACACCTTTGCCCCCTCCACACTGCTGCCAGTCCCTCAGGCCCCTACAAAGCCCTGGACAAGGACATCCACACCAAGCTCGCCTGCCCTCCTCCCCAGTGTCCCACCGGAGCATACAGGCCATGCCTGGCATTCCCGCACACCACAACACTCCAACTGTGAGGCCCAACCTGCCTCAGATGCACGTGACCGTGTGCTGGGACAGGTGTCAGGTATCACCAGCTTCTCTGGCAGATGAGGGGACTTGTCTGAAGGGGCTTCCCTACAGCTTTTAAGTGGTTACTCACCAGCCAGCTCACCCAGCCCACCCCACCCCACCCCCAGTATCTCTGGGATCCTTGAAATGTAAGAAATGCCAAATTGAATAGAGAGTGATCACTGTCCTGCCTTCCTGAGCCCATTTTTTTATGGACTCTTTGGGGGTTTGGGTCTCTCTGGGTGTTAGAACTAACCTCTGTTGCTACCTGTGAGGTCACAGAGCCCCCACAGAGAGGCTGCAGTCCCACCCACAGAGGCGCACCCACACAGAGAATACTTAGTCTGAACACGCGTTCACAGACCCCGAGGGTTTAAGGATAGGGGAATGGCTGGTCAAGAACAGAGCAGGTGGCCATGGCCGGGTAGTTCAGGCATTGATTGAGCAGCAGCCCATGCACCAACAGGCTACAGGTGCGATTCCTGGTCAGGGCACGTACCCAGTTGTGGATTCAATCCTGGGTTGAGGTGTATGTGGGAGGCAACTGATTAATGTTTTTTTTTTCTCTCTCTCTCCCCCCCTTCCTCTCTCTAAAACCATTTAAAAAAAAAAGAGAGAGAGAGAACAGAGTAGGTGGGACAGTCAACAGTGGCCAGTTGGCCACCCAAAGGTAAGCAGGAACTGTCAGCCCACAGACCACCCCAATCCCGCGCAACCAGACCTGGCTTTGACAAGGAAGTCCCACGGGGGACTGGCAGTGGGCCAGGAGGAGCGCCAGGCCTAAACCCAGAAATCCAGGCAGACCACAGTGCAGCTCCAGGGACAGGGCCCTCCAGGGACCAGGCAGCTTCCGAAGTCACTGGGAGACAGGCTCACCAAAGAGGGGTGCCACCTAGTGGTGACAGCACTCAGAAACCCACGGAGGTACTGGACACAGGCCAGAGCCTGGAGCCATGACATGCCCCAAACGAGTGGTCTCAGTCCCAAAATTATGGCAATGCCTTCGCCTAAAGGCTGAACAGACTCCAGCCCTCCAAACCCGCTTCCAAGGCCTCTCCCAGACCTCGACCTACTGCCAGCAGAGTGGCTGACCCGCGCCAGGGCAGCGGGTCCCTGAGCTGGCACACAAAGTCCAGCGTCTACACACCCACACACAGACAAGCGTTTTCACGAGGAGAAGTCTGACTTCCTCAGGCTCTCAGACCCATGACCGGTTGAGAAACCAGTGTCCTAGGAAAGCCCTTCCGTCACAGCTGTGGAAGCAGAGGATGAGAGACCAACCATGCATGGGCCAGAGAGGTGTCTGCCCACCTCCACAGGTCTGAGAGTCAGCCCACTGCCGTCCCTGCTGCACCGAGCCCGCAAGGGGACCAAGGGCATCTAGCCTCCACCCAGTCCTGGTAGATCCCACCTCCCATCACCCAGACAGCATCGCCCTCAGAATATACACCTCCTGGAACAGTGCCCATATCCCCCTAATAACCCTCCTGCAGGGACCCCAATGTTTCCCTGTGTCCTGTGTCCCTCTGTCCATGTCCCACCTCCATACCTGATGGGATTAAATAAGAGCTCCCTGTTCTGGCATCTCTAACACATACCCCAAAAGTAGCAAAAATAAGGTAGCCTGTCCTTCCTCATACTTAGTATTCAAGGTCACCCCAAAACTCAAGTGCAGTGTGTGGACAGGCTGGCTATCCTATTTGCCCAGGAGTCTACATTTGCGCCAAACTCCCCAAGTGATTCTGGTGACGACCACACTCACAGCACAGGCCTGAGGCCCATCACCTGTCAGACACACACACCCACTTCAGCAGAGCACGAGTTGCCAGAGGTAACGATCCACCCCAAATGCCCTCATGGGGACAGGAAAGGGGAAGAACAGAAGCTGGAGTCCCAGACGTGGCACAGACACCACCAACACAGAGCACCTGGAAGAAAACCTGCCCTCCTGGGGCAACGAGGCCACCTGCCTCCCCAGAAGGCGGCCTGCATTCCAGAAGGCTCTGAGGCGTGGTCATGTCCAACTCCATGAGCACTGTGAGCGAAGCCTGCGTACCCTTCCAGCTGACAGGCAGATGGGACCAAGGGGATCGGGTCAGGTGCAATCCCCATGCTGGCCATGGGCCTGGTGGGACCAGGCAGACAGCAGCTGTGCACCAGCCCTGCTGGCCTGCTGTGCTGAGTGCTGGGCTCACTGGGCGCCCACACTCCAGCAGGCTGGCCTGACCAGGCACACGTGGGTCTCTGGTCCCCTCCACGGGAGAGAAGTCACGGAGGTTTCTCTTCTGACGCGTCTCCCTGGGGGCAGAAGAGGAGCTTTCCAGCAAGTTAATAAGCCCAGAGAACAGGACACTCAGGCCCTGCTGGGGCCGCCCTGGCAGTCTGGTTCTGCAGGCGGAGCTGAAGGAAACAGCAGCCTTCTCTGTCCGCTGTGACTCAGAGGCAAAAGAAAAATGAAGAGGCTTTCAAGTGATGGACAACAGTCAACACTGCCAGCGGGAAGCTGCAGGCCCCAGAACCAGCAGTCCCACGGTGAAATTAGAGGCAGCCCTTCAGGAAGGCTCTCGGTCCGGCCCAGTCTTCAGAAAAGACAACTAAGAGACTGAGGCCTCAAAATCACACACGCAGCTGAAACAAGAGAAGGCTCTTTAAACACCACAGGCCCATGCCCTAGGCTCCAAGGACTAATCCAGAATGATCAACCTCCTACCCCACCCCCGACTGGAGCAACCAGACAAAGACAAAGCTGCTGCAGCAGGCAGTCTGCAGAGTGCCGGGGCCCAGGGGCAGCAGCAGTGGGGCAGCGCCGGAGAGAGAAGGGCAGTGCCCCCTGATGGACAGGCGGGGTAAAGACGCCCGGCCTGCCCAGGCTACCCATCCAAGCACAGGAGGGCCAGCTCAGCCCCTCAGCTCTGCACCCAGGAAGACCGTCCAACAGCCCCAGCCACTGCCCGACTCTGCATCCTGCCCCACACACTGGCATTAAGTCAACACAGACAAGCAAGGAGGCTGCTGCAGAGGCCTGACTAGGACAACAACCCTCTGCTGCAGCCTTTTCCTTTTTTATCCCTAAAAATTCAGTCCACTGCACTCGTCACAGTGCTTGACGAGAATGTCTTCCCCCAGAAACAATTACTTCCTCAGCACGCACAAGAGAAAGCCCTTTACCACAGCCCAGCACTGCAGCGATCCAACAGCTGCCACCACTCGGCTAGGGACACACAGACTTGCTGTCCAGCATGAACCGTTTACTGCGGGCTCTCCAAATCCCCCGCTGGTGAGCTCGACGAAGCACCGCAGTGCTCAGGTGGGGGCCAGGAAGCAAGAGTGAATAGAGTGTAGCATGTGGGGACAGGTTGCCACGGGGCACACTTCATACCGTGGCCTGCTAGTGACCAGTCTTGATCAGCTAAGCCACCTGGGGCAGGAAGAGCTGGGCCAAAAACCCCCCGTTCTCCTTTGGCCAGCACACCCCTGGTGCCCAGCCCTACCCCTGCCTCCCTTTCCAAATGAGAATGTGATGAAGACTTGGGCAGAGAGAGGCACAGACTTCCTGAGCTGCCTGTGGAAGAAGCTCCCAGCAGCTGCTGCCGGAGGGGTAGGGGAGGCAGAGCCCATTCTGCCAAAGGTGCTAACTTCGCGGAGAGAAGAGAGACACCAAGGCACCAGCCCCTCCACCTACCTAATGCTCAAGCCCGTGGTCTGGTCCAGTCTCTCCCAGCTCTCCAGCTTCATCAGCAGCCTCTGCAAAGACACGGAAGGTAGAACACAGAGCATCGTGCCCATCAACTCCTGTGCAAAGACTCACAGCTCTCCTGCTGTCCTTCTTCACCCCATTCACCACCTGCTGTCTCCCCCCCAACGAGCGCCCATCCATCCCCATACCAGATACCATCACATGAAACTGACAGAGGTGCTGATGGTGAAGCCTCCCGGTCCTTGAGGAGCCTGCCCACACCTCTGAGCTAGAACCAGAGACGCTTCCAGTGGGCTCCAAGCAGGAGGTCACTCCCCAGTGCTGAAGCCACGCTGCATGCTCAGCGCCTCCTTGGCCCTGGCCCCACACGTTCTGAGAGCCCAGGTTAAACAGCCTGCTGGGTGGTCCTGCAGTCTGGCCCAAATGACCTGCTGCCTCTCACTCCCATCTTCCAGGCGCTCTCAGGACACCCAGCCACAGGGCAGACGAACGAAGCCCTAGAACCAAGCTCCTCCCACCTGACACAGCGGACCAGGCCCCATGGCCCCATGGCAGGAGGGAGCCAGCCCTGAAAACAGGAGGTAGTGACAGTACCCACCCCTGCCCTGCCTAGCACGGCCCACAGGCTGGCTTGCCTTTGTATCTCACACACCTTCCACACACTGACCCACCCCTCAGGAAACCCTTGAGTCTCACTGCCCCTAGAATATAACCAGTGTGAGGGCAGACTCCAGGCCTCTGGCCTTCTCACTCCATCGCCTGGAGCAAGCGCTGTTCTGAATGCATTCATTCAATCAGGCGAGTATCTCCCGAGCCCCGACAAGTGCCGAGCATGGCTTGGTCAGACTTTCATCACTATAGCCAACGCTGCTATTCATCATACAGGTGAAGAGAGGTTAAGTAACTTGCCGAGGATCTCAGCCAGCAAGCATCCAGGGCAGGATTTTAAAGTAGGCAGTGTGGTTCTAGAGCCAAAATCTTAATCAAGTTCAAAATAAACTTTGTCCAGAGAAGAAGCTGCTCAGCTCCAGAGCTGTCTTTTCAGGCTAAGTGCCTACAAAGGACAGCATCTGAGAAAGGGGCTCTGCTCGTGCCCCATGATGCCCCAGGCTGGCCGTGGACCCCTCATGGGCTAAGGTCACTGTCCAGCCATAGAGGGCTCAAGGACCCAACAGGACTCAGCAGTCTGGGAACCCTGGAAAGGAGAGCACGCTGTGCCATTCTTACCAGACTCTGGAAATGAGTGGGGAGCAGTGACTGTTTGTGCCAGACAAACCAGAGAGGCGAGCAAACACCTGCAGAACAGAAAGACCCCAGGCCAAGAGCCAGACGGCCTAAGTTTTGGTCCAAACGCATGAGCCCTGGGCAAGACAGAGAGCTTTCCGGAACCTCAGTCTCATCTGCCCAGAAGAAAACTGACATCCTACGACCATCTCCATGTTGTCCCACAAGCGCTACCCGTGACCCCAGCAGCGAGCACAGGGAGAACAGTGAGCACGGGCGCCCCACAGTCCGAGAGGGAACGACGTCTCTTCCAGTCTCACTGTTCCTTCAGACAGCATCTGTATCAGTTCTCCTGCTGCTCCTAGGTGGCTCAGAGCAGCACAGGTTCACTGCCTCCGCGCACTGTAGTTTGCAAGTCTGACCATCCGGGCCTCACTGAGCCAGTCAAGGGGGGCAGGCAGGGCTGCGCTCCCTCCAGAGGCTCTGAGGGAAGAGTCCCTCTCTCCCCCTTCCCAGCTCTAGAAGTGCCCGGAGTCCTTGGCTCAGGGCCCTTTCTCCATCTTCAGTGCTGCCAGCAGCAGCAGGTGAGACCCTGCTGACAATCGCTCCGACCTCCTACACCCTCTTGTACGTGTCAGATAACCTGTGATCACACTGGCCTACTGGATAACCCAGGGGCGTCAACCTGCCCCAGGCCAGCTGAGCAGCACCCTTAGTGCTCCTCTGCCACCCAGTAACAAGCCCACAGTCCTGGTGATCAGGACATGGCCATCTTGGGGCCAGTGCTCTGACCGCCACCCCAGCATGACAGCTTCCTGAGCTGAGAGGAGCAGCTGGAACGCAGAGCTGAGACATCCAGAGTCCTCCGGACAGTCGGGGCTGCCCGCAGGAATCGCTCACCAGCTCAGGCCCTTACCTCCTTCTCTAGCTCCAGGTCAACCAAATGTTCCTGCATCTTCTCTTGACGACTCAGCTTCCGCTGCAGCCCCTCCATTTCTTCCCTGAGCAGCCCGTTGGTCTCCTGCATCTCCCTGAGAGGACCAGAAATAGTCACTCAAACAGCCACATATCCTGAGGACTAGTCCAGGAGCCCAGGAGCACTGGGCTGCACCCTGGCACACCCAAGAACTAACCCATGGAGCCCCCACCGTCTGTGCCCGCCTCACCGCAGGTAGGCGTTCTCCTCCTTCAGCTGTTTCAGCTCCCGCTCCATCTTGGGCAACCGCACCAGCTCAGACTTCATGTTCTTCACAATCACAGAATCCTGCTCCTGCAGGAACAGCTTCTGCTCCAAATCCTGATTGAGACCAGGGACAGAGAGGAGAAAGTCACAGACACCACACCGCCCCAGGTCTGCAGCAACCTCTGTGGCCCCGGTCCCCTTCTCTGGAAAGCCTGGCCTGCCTGCACAGGTGTGCCTCTGCTGGCCTACAGTGTGGCACAGGCTAGTGTTATGCGCTGTGCTGCGCTGCGCTGCCTTTGGGAGCAAAAACCTAAGACAGGTCTGACCCAAGGACACTCAGCAAAGCTCCCTGAACAAGCAGACCAGTGAAACGGCCCACGCCTCTGTGTGAGGTCTGCTCTGCTGCTCTAGCACACATGTAACGCGAGTCTTTTCCACTCGAAGCCTTTCTTCACCACAGCCAGTCCCCTCGGGACACAATGGAGACAGCTGGCATCCATCAGTGGCAAGTCACAGAACAGGCCAAGAGTATGAGAGCAGGACCAACTCAGTCAGTCATTCAGCAAACACTAACGTGACCGGGGCCACCTCTGGACCAGGTAACGAGTCAGACGGTGGTGCCAGGGTGACGCAGAAAACAGATGAGGTCTTTGTAAGGAAGAGCCTAGTCTGGGGCAAAGGCAGGCATCAGGCAGTACAGGCAAGTAGACCCTGAGAAGTGGGCCAAGGGCTGCAGACAGGAGGATGAGGGCCAGGAAAGGTCCTGGGGAAACATGTAGTGCTGAGGGCAGGGCAGGAAGGCTGGGGAGGAGGGACAGTTAAGCACAGCAGCCACAGAGAACATCCTGTGAAAGACCAGAGGTGAGAGGGAGCAGGGAGTCTAGGAACTGACAGGGTGGGCACAGCTGGAGAGGGAAGCAGGCAGGACAGGGCAGGGAGACAGATCATGAGGCAGGGCAGAGTGTGGATGTCACTCTCAAAGCGGGCAGCCGTCCCAGAGCCCTGCATCACTGTCTCCCTGGCAGGGCCCCCCCCCTCAGTGCAGCAGCACAGCCTGAACGTCAGAGTCCCATCACGCACTAGCGGGACAACCTCTCCAAGCTGACTTATCACCTTCACAGCTCACACTACCTGCGCTGTCGCGTATTCACTTTCCTCTTTGTGTGTGTGTTGTTGGTCTTCGTCCTGGGAGTAGAACATGTCTCCTGTTCAGTGTGGCATCCCTAGCAGCTAGCACAAGCCTAGCACACAAGAAGTGAACAGTGCAGGCACAGTGGGTACAGACTGCAACTGACACACCCAGCTCAGAAACACCTACCGGCAGAAGAAGGACTGACACCAACACTGTGACGCCTACTACACACAGGCTGGGGACTGGCACTGAGCAACTCACCTTGATCCTCTGCTCCTGGTCTGCCCTTGCTTCTTGGCTGGCCTGGAGTTCCTGAATCTTCTGAGTCGCTTCCTGCCATTTTCTATTAAGAGAAAAGTGGATCACATGCAAAATGTGGTGTGTGGTGAGGCCAACTAATCCCCCCTTATCCTAAAGCTCTCCAGCGCAGACACATGCACACAAATACACATGTACACGTATACTGCCACACAAACCCTTCGAGGACAGCCCTAGAACCCCGGACTCTAGCCCCTGCCAGTGCCTCTGGGGCCTTCTCCTCATGAGGACGGGGTGGGTGGGTGAGCCCAGACCACCTGCCAGATCCTCTCCAGCTGCACCACCCCAGTTCCCCAGCCTCACGTCTGCTCAGACTGCAGCTCTGGCTGCCGGCCCGGGTACAGCCACGAGGACCCACTCCTGACTGACCCGACTCCACCAAGTGGCCAGACTCTCCCTAGACATCTGCTGAGACAAGGGCAAGGTCTTCAGGAAAGTGTTCAATCTCTGACCTTGCCTCATGAGCTCTTTCACTCCCCATGCCTCTGCTCAGAATGCTGGCTTCCGGGAGTGTCCTTACCACCCACCTCCCATTGGCCGCACGTGTCCACCATGGCCTTTTTTTTTTTTTTTTAATCCTCACCCGAGGATATTTTCCTGTTTATCTTCAGATAGTGGGGAAGGAGAGAAGAAGGAAGAGAGAGAGAGAAACATCGATGTGAGAGAGACACATCGACTGGTTGCCTCCTGCATGACCCCAACCAGGGCTGAAGACAAACCGCAACCGAGGTGCGTGCCCTTGGCAGGAATCGAACCTGGGACTCTTTGGTCCGTGGGCCAATGCTCTAACCACTGAACCAAACCAGCCAGGGCCACCTTGGCCTTTAGAACCGAGCTCCAATGCATCATCTCTGAATGGCTGCTCCCGCTCTTGTTCTCAGGACTTTTAAAGTGACACTGCTCTGATACTTACGGTCCTGGCCTCAGGGTCTGTCCCCAAGAGCCTATAGGTGGGAGGACAGCACCGGAAGGACATCTGTAGAGCTTCTGGGCTTCAGCACACACAACATCCGTGGAAGCAGGGTGCGCACACCGCAGAGAGCACAGGACAAGCCTGTGTCTCCCTGTTTGTGGTCTTCCACACGGTTAACCACAGGACATCCAACTCAGCACATGCCCCACAGGCTGTAGGTGGGCAGGCTCCACATTTACTCACCTGTGCTGCAGGTCCAGCTGCTCCTGCAGCTCTTGCTTCTCGGACTCCAGGCCTTTCACCTGCATCTCCTGGTTCATTACACTCCACTGCAGTTCTGAGAGCCTGCCCTTTAACTCGCTGATGGTCTAAAAGCAGAGCGGGACAGACAGCCATCCACTGAGGCCGCTGGAGGTGAAGCACGTGGGCCTCCCACACAGAAGGACAAACACCCTCACGAGAGGCTGTGCCTCCCCCCACTCCCGAGGGCAGGGACAAAGCCACCTGCTCCTTCAGAGAACATGACCGGACACCACCCCCAACCCAGCCCAGGGCACCAGCCCAAGCCCACCTATGTCTCCCATGAGCTAACAGGGGAGGCTGAGTCATGGTGACAACGGCCTCGGGAGCAAGAACTGCTGCCAGCTAAGACCCTTGTCTCACACCCCGTGACAGCCCTGCCCATGAAGTGTCAGCACCCCCACATCCTGTCACCCCGTGGGGTATGTGACACTAGTCTGAGTCCCTGGCACACTCTGTACAGCCTTCCCTCCACACCCTGCTCCCGCCTCTCAGCCTGGAATTCCTTCCCCAACCCCACCCCATGCTGCCACTCCAGCTGTGCTAGAGATGCCCCTGTAAGCTACAGCCAGGCGCCCCCCAAGAAGCCGGACACAGAGATGGAGGCCATCATCACGACGACGCCCTGGAAGCCACACAGAATGGAGAGGAGCTGCCAGAGCGCTGTGGGGACCAAGGCTCCCGGGCAGGAAGTGGCCGAAAGAAAGCTGAAGCCTGGGAGGTGAGCCGAGCACAGCCTGGTCCACCGCAAGCACCTGGGCACACTGCGCCCCAGGCAGCCTCCTGGCCACGGCACTGCCCTGTGGCTGCCCTGGGGGAGAGCATGCTGGTTGCCCCACGGGAAAGGCCAGCCCCCTCAGAACAATACGGAGATCAACACGTGCAAAAGCTGCCAGATGGCCCCTGGGAGCCAGACCTCCACCTGAGGGTCCTACAAACAGGGCGAGAAAACAGACTGACAGCACAGGGAGTGTCACCTGGCAGTCCCCGGCACCCTCCGCAAACCAGGAGGCCTCCGCACTCGTCACCCGTCCAGCCCAGTGACACCTGGCAGTCCCCGGCACCCTCGCAAACCAGGAGGCCTCTGCACTCGTCACCATCCAGCCCAGTGACACCTGGCAGTCCCCGGCACCCTCGCAAACCAGGAGGCCTCCGCACTCGTCACCCGTCCAGCCCAGTGACACCTGGCAGTCCCCGGCACCCTCGCAAACCAGGAGGCCTCCGCACTCATCACCCGTCCAGCCCAGTGACACCTGGCAGTCCCCGGCACCCTCGCAAACCAGGAGGCCTCCGCACTCGTCACCCGTCCAGCCCAGTGACACCTGGCAGTCCCCGGCACCCTCGCAAACCAGGAGGCCTCCGCACTCGTCACCCGTCCAGCCCAGTGTCACCTGGTAGTCCCCGGCACCTTCCGCAAACCAGGAGGCCTCCGCACTCGTCACCCGTCCAGCCCAGTGACACCTGGCAGTCCCCGGCACCCTCGCAAACCAGGAGGCCTCCGCACTCGTCACCCGTCCAGCCCAGTGACACCTGGCAGTCCCCGGCACCCTCGCAAACCAGGAGGCCTCCGCACTCGTCACCCGTCCAGCCCAGTGACACCTGGCAGTCCCCGGCACCCTCGCAAACCAGGAGGCCTCCGCACTCGTCACCCGTCCAGCCCAGTGACACCTGGCAGTCCCCGGCACCCTCGCAAACCAGGAGGCCTCCGCACTCGTCACCCGTCCAGCCCAGTGACACCTGGCAGTCCCCGGCACCCTCGCAAACCAGGAGGCCTCCGCACTCGTCACCCGTCCAGCCCAGTGACACCTGGCAGTCCCCGGCACCCTCCGCAAACCAGGAGGCCTCCGCACTCGTCACCCGTCCAGCCCAGTGACACCTGGCAGTCCCCGGCACCCTCGCAAACCAGGAGGCCTCCGCACTCGTCACCCGTCCAGCCCAGTGTCACCTGGCAGTCCCCGGCACTCTCGGCAAACCAGGAGGCCTCCGCCCTCGTCGCCCGTCCAGCCCAGGACCATCTAGGGTCAGCACTGCTGCCCCACGTCCCCCGGCAGGCTGACAGGGCTGACACAGGCCCGTGTCCCCCACTCCACTGACCTGCGTGGTCTGCTGCACTACAACAGTGACGACCACTCTGGGAACCACACAGAACGGAGGTACTAACAAATGAGAACATCCTTCAAGAAGTCTTCCTGAATTCAATGCACACAGCACCAGGCACTGTGGGGCGCCAGGGTCAGAGAAGGCTGTGGGGAACCGCAGAGGGTTGGAGCACAGGACCCAGGGCGCAGTGATGAGAGGACGCAGAGGGGCAGTGTGGCTGTGACTACACTGAGTGGCAGGGGAAGGCTTCCCTGAGGAGGCGCAAGTAAGAGAAGAGATGTGTGTGGTCCTGTATCCCAACCGGCCACCGCCTTTCCCACAATGGGCTCCATCCGGCGTCCTCTTTGTAACTTCCGTGGAAGGGTCTCCCCCTCCTGCCCTTCACTGAACAGTATGCAGGCCCCCAGAAGGTCAGATATGGGCAGGAGGGCACCAGCAAGCACACCAAGGGTGAGGGGGCTCTTCTTGAGGCTGATCCAGCCCCTCTCCTGCCCCCATCAGCACCAGAAGACAGATGGACAAAAAACTTATCATGTTCTCCAGTGTTGCCAAGGCAAAAAGCAACTGGGCCTACTCCCCAAGCTGCCCGCAGACACCACCAGTGACCCAGCCCCCCACGGGGTTCCACCTTTTCATTGCAGAGCAGCACAGGGAAGGGGCAGGGAAGGTGAGGAGTCCGATTTCCACCAGCTCCAACAGTGGAGCTGCTTCTAGAGCGTGTGCAGCCTCCAGCTGGAGACCTGAGGACACCACAGCTCACCTGCGCTGTTTCAAAGGTGCTCTCAGATGCTGACAGACACACACGCATGCACACCCACCCCTCCGCTCCTCAGCCCACCCCACTGCAACCCACCTCCCACCCCCACATGCCACTAACAATCAAAGAAACGCAAATCTAGAGGCAAGTACCTACATCCTCTGGGGGGGGGGGCAAGCATTTCCAGGACACACCACCACCTGTGACAGGTCAGACCACAATGGAGCTAGACCACTCAACGTGGCTGTGCCCTCGTGACCCCTCTCTGAGGAATTAACTCCAGATAAAATAACCCCAGAGAAGCAAAAAAGTTGCATGCCCGAAGCTCTCTGCTACAGTGAGCTCGTGCATCAGGGTGTGGGTGCACACAAGAGTCAGAGCACTTGAAAATGACCGAAACAGTCTCACCAACCATTACAAATCAAAATTACAAAGATTAAAAAGAGTTCATCTTATTCACCGAAAACCACAAAATGGAAAGTTAGGGTTTTGCTATGAAGACAATGGAAAGAAATAAAGGCGCAGAATGAAAACCAGGAAAGACTGGCGCTCTGGTGGCGGCGGCGGCGGCCCTCACCTCGCTGGCCTCGGCCAGGCCGTCCTCCTTCTCCCGCAGCTTCTGGTTGGCGGTGTCCAGGCTCTGCTTGCACTGCCTGTTGTGCTCCAGCTGCTCCTTCATCTTCTCTTCCGCCTCCGTCTCCCGCTCCTGAAGCTGCCGAATCCGTGTCAGGAGCTCCTGGTTGCGGTCCACTTCCCGCTGCCAAGAGGGGAGGACCTGGGTAAGCACAGGTTGGAGCAGGGAGGCCCCTTCCATCCTCCCTTGGGCCAGAGAAGACCTGCCAGGAGCCAGGAAAGCCAACAGTACAAGGCTCTAGCCCAGAGACCCTCCAGAGGGCACTCAGAGGTATCACCCAGTGACATCAGTCAATGTGACCATCTGCAGACAGGAGGTGAAGCGTGAAAACCCCAAGCTCAGACTGGACCTTGGAAAGCAGCCTCCAAGCTCTGGCAACACCAGCAGCTTTCGACTGACTGCACACAGACCACCATTACAAGCTGGCATGCCCCTGACCAGGTGCGGACAGGTGGCCTGCAGAAAGGTCAGCTGACCCAGGGCCCCTTCCACCACAAGGGCACCTTATCTCACACAGACCTGCAGAGCCAACCCTCTACCTGAGAGCAAGGGCAGTGCCACCAACCCCACAGTTCCCACAGTCCAATGGCCCCAGTGCTACCTCCCTAACCCTAATAAGGGCATTCCAATACTTGAGAGATGCCCAAGGCCTCTCCCTCCTGCTTCCCACTGGCTTCCCCAAGACTGTCCCTCCTAGGACAACCCAGAACATCAAGCCCCACATCACAGAGAAACACCACTCAGAGCAGCACCAGGGCCAATGCCAAGGCCTAAGTTCCCCGCCCACAGGCCGCACCTCTGGGCTACTGTGCCCACATAACACACCACAGCCAGGAGCCGGTACACCGGATTCAGACACATCCAATCAGCAGCTATTTTTACAGGGACCAGGAAAGCACACAATCATGCCATGTGAATCCAGACGTCCACCCCTGGGGAAGGCACAGAGCCAGGATGCTCTGCCTGGGTGTTAGTGGCACTTCCACATCTCATCAGCACTTACTGAAAACCCTGCAAAGTGCTGCTTATCCAAGCCAAGGAAGCACTAAGTAACAGTGTAACCCTCTGGGTGAGAGGGTTGTGCTTTCCCAGCCTGCTGTGGAAACATGGAGCAGCCCCCAGGCTGGGGTTCTTCACTGAGGCCCTATAACCATTAAGCAAGACCCAGCCTGGACCCAAGACCCCTATGCATCCTGGTGACTTTCTAAGCCTGTCACCCCATGCCACCTGGGATTTCTATCAGATCTGCACCCCAGTTCTTGCGGAGGAAGGGGGAAGCCAGGAGGCCCAGTACTGTGCTGCCCTCCTCGAGGTGAAGCACGGTTGGCATCAGGGCCTGAGAAGGCAGCCTGGCAGCCCAGCGGCCGAGCACTGGGTTTCCCGAGCGCTGAGTGAGCTAGCACCGCACTCACCTCATAGCTCCGGGCACTGGTGCTGGCCGCTCGCTCCAGCTCCACGCGAGCCCTCTTGTGGCTCAGCTGCATCTGCATCTTCTCCCGCTCCACCTGGATGATGTGCGACTTGGACCGGATCTGCTCTGCTCGCTCTTCCAGCTGCCCAGGCCATGCCCGAAGGAAAGACACATCCTCAGTAGCCGCTGCATCAAGCAGGTGAGTGGCTCACTCAGCACTCACTCCCGGCTCACCTGCTCCCAACAAGGCCCATGCTCACCCCAGGGAAGAAGGAGCCACTGGGCCCTGAGCAGGGCGATGGGCTGGGGAAGCAGCAGGTACAGAGAAGAGGATGAAGGTGAAGAGAGGGCGTGTGCTGAGACGACAGTGTGGGGGCTCATTCTAAAAAGGAGGGTTTCTCTTGAAAATGGTTCCCCATTGCTATGTAACAAGCCACCAAACTCAGCAGAGTAAAACCCAGCAACGTAAGCTGTCCGACCTGCAGGTCACAAGGCCAGGCGCACAGCGCTGGGTCTCTGAGCAGTCTGAGATGAACTCAGTGCAGTTGGCTGTGTTCTCATCGGGACCCAGGATCTTCTTCCACACACACACATGGCTGTGGGCCTGAGGTCCCATGTCCCTGCTGGCTGTCAGCATGGGCTGCTCTGGCTCCGAGGCCACCCACATTCCCTGCCATGTGGCCCTCTGCAGCTCCAAAGCCAACCAGGGGGAATCTCCATGTGCGGGTCCCTCTCCTGCTCCACACCTCTGAGCCTCAGTCTCATCTCTCAACCCACTTTTTTTTTTTAATCCTCAACTGAGAGTATTTTTCCATTTATCGTCAGATAGAGTGGGAGGGAGAGAAACAGAAAGAGAAAGATCAATGTGAGAGAGACACATTGATTGGTTGCCTCCCGCACAACCCCAACCAGGGCAGGGGACTGAACCACAACCGAGGTACGTGCCCCTGAGTGGAATCCAACCCACAACTCTTTGGTCAGCAGGCCAATGCTCTAACCTCTGAGCCAAACCGGCCAGGGCTCTCAGCCCACATTTTAAAGAGTCACCTATGTTAACTGATTTGAGATCTTAATTATATTTGCAAATCTCATCGCCACAATACCTAGTTAGTATTTGATTAAATGAAAGAGAGTGTGGCCACCAAGGGCCATCTCAGAAGTCTGCCTCCCACAGATGGCAGGTAAATAAAGGTGAGTTGAGGCCTAGAAGGGCCTCAGACGACACACCCAATGGTTTCAAAGAATCACGGCCTATAAGGGCCTCTTCTTCCAGTGGGTTAGAGTCTGACCGCTCCAGAATGGCCTGCAATCCAGCACACAGATCTCCTGGACACCTAACAGACATGCCAAGTCTCGGGATGCACCCCAGAGACACGGAGTCAAACTTGTCCTTTTAAATATAGTCTCAGGGAAGCACGTGCACATTCAAGTCGGAGAAGCACTGGGCGAGAGCAAATGGTTCTGACTTCAACTAGGGACACTCGGTAGCATCCAGAGACACTGCTGCTGATCGTCACAAGAAGGGTAGTAGTATGGGTGCTAATGGCATCTAGTGGGCAGAGGCCAGGGGTGTTGCTGAATAGCATTCAATGCACAGGAAAGTCCTGCAAAACAAAGAATTATCCAGCCCAAACTGTCAACAGTGCCAAGGATGAGAAACCCAGCCAGAGAAAAGGCATCCTCCCCTACATTCATTGGCGGCCCAAGCCCACACTTCCTTTACCCTCTGATGTTCCTCGCACTTCACTTCCCACCTGTTGACCTAAAGGCTCCTAGCTCTTCCTTCCATCAAACACACTGGCCAGCCCTGTCTCACTCTCTCTGCAGCACCCCAGCTCCAGGGGGCACCAGGCACCACACCACAGGGACCAGGAGTCGCAGAGACATGGGAGCCACGGGCCACATCTTCCTGAAACATTGACTGCATTTGAAAGAAAGTAACTGCCCTGGCTGGTTTGGCTCAGCAGTTAGAGTGTCGGCCTGCAGTCTGGAGAGACCCGGGTTCGGTTCCCACTAAGGGCATGTACCTCGGTTGCAGTTTGTCCCCAGCCCTGGTTGGGTCATGCGGGTGGCAGCCCCTCGATATGTCCCCTTCATGTCAATGTTTCTCTCTCTCTCTCTCTCTCCCCCTCCCACTCTATCTGAACAAGAAATATCAAAAAATGTCCTTGGGTGAGGAAAAAAAAAAAAAAGAAAGTAACTGAAACATTATTTTTATATTTATGCAAGAGCTGATGTGTGACAGAGAAAACTGTAAACACTTTCAAATGGAAACAGGGATCTTATTAAAAGGAGGGAGGAGGAGCCCAGTGGGCAAGAAATACTGATCTCTGCCTCCAAGCTCCCCAGACCTACAGCTGGCGGAGGCACCTAGGAACGAGATGAAGCACCGATGGAAGTCCCGTGACAGTCAGGGCCCCAGCAGGCTCTGTGGCAGCATGACTCTAACCAACTCACTACGGCTTTGTCACTCACTTACTAACCTGTCCAGCACTAGCTGAGAACTGGGGACCTCCAAAATTCTAGATTCTATAGTTCTGACAGAAGGCCAAAAGTTCCCAGGCATCTGCATCAATAAAATTATAACTTTTTTTGAATAGTGGGCAAGCATCACAGTATAATCTATAACCACCATTATTTCACTAAAAAGTATCTTAATACCAAAAACAAAAATAATAAACCTAAGTTCAAAATAAATAACCAAAAAAGGGGAACAACTTAGTCCACTAACAGACATATAGTAATTCAGTTACTCAGCAAATGAGTGCATACGAGCCCCATCAGGGCTCCCCCGTGGGACGCAGGCCGTTATCGCCAGGCGGCGCCAGCAGCGCGGGCAGGCTGACAGGAGAGGAGGAATACAGCAGAGGCCAGGGAGTGCCTGACGCAGCAGACAGTGCGGAGGGGCAGGCACCTGGGCAAGTCTGCAACACCACACCCCCTCCCTCTGTGGATCCAGTGATCCTTCCCCAACTGGGACTGACCCCACAGGAGACCTGACCCCTTTACAACTGTGTCTACTGTGAGCACTGCCAAGAACTTGGAACACAGTGAAATGACACTGTGACCCGAGGGACACTGTTAAGACCGACCGCCCATGGCAGGCTGGATCCAACACCTGCGAACAGCCCGCACTGTCCGAGACGACCTACCCAGTCCTTCGCTCGCGCCCTGGCTTTCCTCCAGGCTGTCCAGGGACCTGTGTTACAACACAGCCTTCCCACGCGTCACACCTTCAAGGTGGCCAGCAGCTGGCTGGACGGCGTGCGGTCGTTCTCCCAGGCAGTGTGGTTTTCCTCGGTCAAATGAGTAAGCCAGCTTTCCCATCCATCACTGGTGTGTGAGCTCATTACCATGGGCACAAGCTGAGCACCAGACCTACTCCATGCTGCTGCTAAGGCAGGGTTTCCAGCCAGGACAGCTCAGGGCCAGACCATGGCTTCCAGCTACCTCCCCGAACTATGAACACTCACCCTGGAGAAATGGAAGACGGCAGCGGGGCCCAGGTTGAGGAAACGACTTGTAATGAAACCAATTTTACCACAGACTAGTTGACATCAACAAGAGTTAAGTCCCTACGGCAGCTCATCAACAGAAATGTCATTCACGGACCCTCAGAACAGGGAAACTGAACCAGCCTATCTGGGGACAGGTGCCTTCCCCCAGAGACCCCTCTTCCCACACGACACCCACCTGCATGCTCTGCTGGTACTGCATCTGCAGAGAACCTGGGGCAGAGGTGGAAGCCTCCAGTCCAGCTCCTCCATCCACTCGCTGAGCAATGAAGTTGTTCAAAGACCTCAGGGAGGACAGGACGGTGGTGTTTTCCCCCAGGTCTTCCATGGCCATGTGTTCCTGGCGGAAGGCAAGGAAGGAGTCACAGTGAGCTTTCCCATACAACTTCTGTTCCAGCTGCCTACAGGAACCTCCCCTCCCCTACTGCTCTCGGAGCCTGAAAATAGTCCAGTGTCCACAGTCACGTTCTCCTGGGTTGACTGAGAGCCCAGACTGCTGCTTTACCAGAGAAGAAATAAGGGGCATAAAAGACCAACGTGCCCCAAGACGCTGACTGTCGGAGTGAGGACCTGCACACCAGCAGGGCAGACAGTCCCCAGGAGGTGTTCAGCAGGCAGGTGCACGTCTCCACAGAAAGCCTGGCTTCTGGGGATCAGGAACAAAGCGCACAGCAGGGGCAATCGGGATGATGCTGACCACACAATGCTGACTTTTTAACAGTGACATTAACAAATGATTACTATTTCCAACCCAGTAAATACCAAAAAGAAAGGTATCTGACGTTTACTGCCGCCAGGACTCCTCGAGCCTCCCTTTCCTCATTGGTGAACTGACATGAAACCTGCCTTGCCAAGTGGCTGCGAAGATCAGAGTCCCGTGTTCTGAAGCAGCAAAAAGCACAACTGCCGCCTAACAGGTTAACTACCATTCTGCTTGTGTGCTGACACGAGGAGAACTGAGGCTGGAACCCGGGTGTGCCTGGCTCCGTAGGTCGCGTGTGCTCCACGGGCCAACGCAGAAAGGCTAAGGACACGCAGCAGCAAAGAACCCGCATCCCCAAACCTGGGCTTCCTCTGGCCTCACACCAGCCCAGCGAGCCAAGGTGCAGAGCGGCGCAGGCAGTCAGCAGCCTGAAGGAGTGACTCCCCGTGGGTGATTACTCTTTCCCCTTAGGAGAAACTGCTCCAGCAGATTTCCCCTAAGTATTCGACTGAAAACACCTCTTCCGGCCCCACCCCACACCCCCAAAATAACCAAAAAGTGCGGAATCTTACTTTGATTCGGGATTTCCCACGTAACCCGGCACGCCTGCCCCTGCACAACGCAGCTGTTCTCTCCACCTCTCCGACTACAGAGGGAAATGGCCCGAGGAGAGAACAGAACTGGCACTCCCAGGGCTGTGGGCCTCGAGGATACAGGCCTGCGGGCGGGAGGCAGCAGAGCTAATCCTTCCATCTGCCGGGATTAGACCAGGGTCATCCTTCCCATCCCATGATGGGAAATTGAGCCAATATATCCTCTCCCAAGATGCCATCCCTCTAAGAACTGAAGCACGTAATACACTAGAAAGAAAAGAGCGTGCACATTTTCGGCTGCCTGGAACTAAGCCACTCCACAAGGCATGTGATAAGGCCGCGGCTCAAACTCCATCCTCTTTATCCAAGAGACTTCAATCTGCCAGCAACCCAACCACTGAATCCCAACCGCTGTCAACGGAACCCTGAGCTGGGAGTGCAAAGCTCACCGCCTCTCCACTGCCCTTCTGGTCCTTGGCGAAAGGACAACTGCTGAAACCTAGAGACCTCAAGGTCACTCACCACCCGGCCACACCGCCTCGCACCTCGGGTAAGTCCACCACAGGCTTTGGCAGCTTTCTCTAAACTCATTGCTCTGCCAGCTACCAGGTGAGACTCGGCAAGTCCCTCCCATCTTTCCACGGGTAGGGAGTAGTAGCCACTCCGACTTCTCCCCTGCTCAGGAGGTGCAGTTGGCAGTGCCCGGTGCATCTCCCCACCCCCAGTTTCAGGGCCCCCTGAAGTGCCCAGGCGGTGAAGAACCCTCCTCCCCCTCTTCCTAGGCTACTGCAGCCCCTCACAGCTCAGCCTCCAGGGCACGGGCCTGTGCAGCCGCTCCTTCTCCCACAGAAGCCTCCAGGGACCTGCAGGGGGGCTGAGGGTAGCTGGGGCAGGGGCTGGCCCCGGCTCAGGGCAGCAGGGACCAGAGGGGCGGGCAGAGACCCTGGACACGGTGGGGAGCCGGGGGCAAAGAACAGGGTAGCAGGTACGGAGGAGAGAGAGGTGGAATAGAGAAGAGGGGACAGAGGAGGGGGGTTTCAGAGACAGAAGATGGGGGTTTGGAGCAGAGTGAGGGAGGGGCGCCGCGTCAGAGCGCAGGAGCTGGAGAAGGACAGAGGGGGCGGTGCCCCGCCTCGGCCTCAGTGGGCAGCCAGACCCGGACCCCGACCCCTGGAGCCGCCCGCTGCACAACCCTCCAGTCCCCGTATCAGCCCACCCCAGGGACCCCCACCTTGCCCGGCCCCCGGACCTGGACCCGCAGCCCCCGGCCCCGCACCTCGCCCGGCCCCGCACCTCGCCCGGCCCCGGCCCCGCAGCCCCCGGCCCCGCACCTCGCCTGGCCGCCGGACCCGCACCTCGCCCGACCCGGACCCGGACCCGCAGCCCCCGGCCCCGCAGCCCCCGGCCCCGGCCCCGCACCTCGCCCGGCCCCGGCCCCGCAGCCCCCGGCCCCGCACCTCGCCCGGACCTGGACCCGCAGCCCCCGGCCCCGCACCTCGCCCGGCCCCGGCCCCGCAGCCCCCGGCCCCGCACCTCGCCCGGACCTGGACCCGCAGCCCCCGGCCCCGCACCTCGCCCGGCCCCGGCCCCGCAGCCTCCAGACCCGCACCTCGCCCGGCCCCGGCCCCGCAGCCCCCGGCCCCGCACCTCGCCCGGCCCCGGCCCCGCCGCCCCCGGACCGTCACCTCGCCTGGCCGCCGGACCCGCACCTCGCCCGACCCGGACCCGGACCCGCAGCCGCCAGACCCGCACCTCGCCCGGCCCCGGCCCCGCAGCCCCCGGCCCCGCACCTCGCCCGGACCTGGACCCGCAGCCCCCGGCCCCGCACCTCGCCCGGCCCCGGCCCCGCAGCCTCCAGACCCGCACCTCGCCCGGCCCCGGCCCCGCAGCCCCCGGCCCCGCACCTCGCCCGGCCCCGGCCCCGCAGCCCCCGGACCGTCACCTCGCCTGGCCGCCGGACCCGCACCTCGCCCGACCCGGACCCGGACCCGCAGCCGCCAGACCCGCACCTCGACCGGCCCCCGGACCCGCAGCCCTCGGACCCCCAACTCGCCCGACCCCGGACCCGCATCCCCTGGACCCGCACCTCACCTGGTGCCCGGACCCCCACCCCGCCCGGCCCTCACCTCGACCGGCCCAGTCAGCCCGCTGCCGCCGCTCAGATCTCCCTCCTCTCCGCCCGCGTCTCGCGAGACCTGCGCTGTGCTCTCGCGAGACCCGGAGGAGGCGGGGCCGCGGATCGTCCAACTGCGGTCTGCGCAGCGGCCGCGCCGGCAGGCTCAGCGTCGGCTCCCGGGCCGCGCGCCCCACGCAGGACGCGTCCCACGGGACGGCTGCCTCGCACCGCGCCGTGTGGGTGGCACCGCCCAGCCTCCCGAGACCTTGCTGGCCCGGATGCCCTGAATTCTCGCGGCCCTTCGCTTTCCCCGGGGCCGCCCGGAATGAGCCGCCTGGGTCAGCGCGGGGCTGGCGTCCACGCTCCAGCCCGCCCCCGCAGGCTGCCGGCCCCCGGCCCCCCGGCCCCCCGGCCCCCCGGCAGCCGTCTTCCCGAAGACGAACTGAAGGGCCCGGGGGGAGCAGGTGGGCGAGCGGGACTAAGGTTCCCGGACTTAGCTAGCGGACCACCCCCGAACCGGAGAGCAGGCTGAAGGCGGCCCGGCCTGCCGTCCACTCGGCCTAGGGCTGCCGTGGAGGCTGGTCCTGGGGGTCCGACCGCCCCAGCAGTCGTCAGCCCTTCTGGGGGAGGAGCCCGCCGCCGGGACGCGGCTTTGAAGAGCGCAGTCTGGAGCCCAACCCGAAAGCATGGAAATCCCTTCGGATGACAGCCTGTCTCGTTTCCTAAAGCGGCCGCAAGTCGCAGGAGACCCGAGGGAAAGAAATGGACACACTGCTCCCGTGCGGCAATACCTTTACTGTCCAGGGAGCCTGGAACACACCCGCCCCAGCAGCCTCCCCTAACTGCTGACCAAGGAGTGCTGCCAGGTCATTCACCGGACGTGCGGAATGAATCCCGACTGAAATTTCACATTTTTCTACGTTATACTGTGGAGCCAAAATCACAACGGGAAAGCTGTGAGGTTCCTGGAGCGACCTGGGGACCTGCTCTGACACTAGCCCAGTCTGAAGGAGGAGACCAGGGCAGGAAGGTGTGTCCCTCTGCCTCCCTCCCCAGCCTGTCTCCTCCTTTTATCTTTCTCATGAGAACTTTCTCTACACAGATCACGTGACAGACCGATTTTTATCATGGCTACTGAATACAGTTTATCCTCTTTTTGGTTTAAAAAAAGGTCCCCCACTGGTCCTGCCCGCTGCATCCCAGGGCAAGCCCGGGCCTCCCCAGCCACATTCAGAAGAGTGAGGGCTACACTTGCAGTGAAGAGGACCAGAAACGGCCAAAAAGCTCAGCCCTTCACAGACCACTTTGCTCTGCGGTACTGTGTGGCCAAGAGGTACACCTCTGATGATTCTTTCCTGCTGGCTTCAGGTTTCAGGGTCCTCGTGTTCTGGAATTCCTCTGTCAGTCTCTTCTGTAACCGGGGGCTTTGACTTCCAGCCCAGGTCTTACAAAGCAATGTCCCCCCAGGGTGCAGGATGTCGGGAGCCAGGTCCAGAAGGGACAAGCACAGGCCAATGAGCCTGTCGTGATCCAGGCCCCGGATCCCTGTGGCGTTGGGTGCCATGTCACTCAGAATCACATCTGCTCTCCCGCCAGGAAGCAGTTCTTGGATTCTCTGGAAGGTTCCTGGGTCAGTCACATCAGCAGGGCATAAAAATGTTGCTCCTTCCAGGGGCGATATGTGAAGAAGATCAACCCCGAGCACAAAGCCAACAGGACTGCTGGGATCTAAGGAAGAAACAGTGAACAGATTACTTACTCACACCCTGATTCTTCCCACAGAAGTCCATGACCCAAAGGAACGAAACAGGACCTAGGAAGAGCTCACGTGCAAACGGTGCACACGGGCCTCTTCTCACTTCCTGTGCAGTCTACAAGGGCACAAGTCGGGGGGTGGGGGGGCTTCACTCTGCATCTGAGGAAACGGGCCCAGAGAGGCTGACTGCCCCAGAGCGAAAGGCAGACCTGGGCCACAACCCGACTTGTCTCCCGCTCTGATGTCATTTCATTTCATTCCCCAAAGCTGTGCTCCGTGAGGGTCCTTACCTCTGATGACGTAAAATAGAAAATGATACACTAGCACAAGAGGTGCCTCTGGGTTAAATAAAAAATCCGTTCCACAGCTTCAGACACACTCTTAGGAAACGAGCTGAGATTTGGGGGAACGGCAGGTGCAAAATAAGGTCCAAAGTGGACTCCTCGCCCGTATCTGAGTGCCACCAGTTGTGAGGTAAAAAGATGTCACTGTTCCACCCTGGCCAGTTTGGCTCAGCGGTTAGAGCGTCGGCCTGCGGTCCTGAGAGACCCGGGTTCGGTTCCCGCTAAGGGCACGTACCTTGGTTGCAGTTTGTCCCCGGCCCTGGTTGGTCGTGCGGGTGGCAGCCACTCGATGTGTCCCTTTCACGTCGATGTTTCTCTTTCTCTCTCTCCCTCCCACACTCTATCTGAACAAAAAATAGAAAAAATGTCCTCGGGTGAGGATAAAAAAAAAAAAAAGATGTCACTGTTCCACATTACCAAAAACAGCACCTTCTGCGCCCCCTCCTCAGGCTGCACCCCATCCAAAGCCCCCTCCTCACAAGCCCTGGCATCCCCTCCCTCCCCTGAGTTTGCTCTGCTGACACAGGTCAGGACCAGGTTAAGGGCACAGTCTCAGATTTGCTAGTTCAGCCTGTTTACTAAGAAGGCCGTTCCACGGGGAGAAGCGACGTGTGTTTTATCTCTATCGAAAAGTAGCCCTGGCCAGTTTGGCTCAGCGGTTGGAGCATCGCCTACGGACCAGAGAGTCCCGGGTTCAGTTCCTGCTAGGGGCACGTACCAAAAATAAATAAATAAATAAATAAATAAATAAAGTAGAAGGCTACGGACTTTGCAGAGCACCTCGCCTCTCAAAAGCCAGAGCTCTGCATCTCAGCCCTGGAAGTGGGGCAGTTGCCATCTCCATCTCATTTCGTGCACTGTGCCCTCTCCTTGAACGCCCCATTGGTCAGACCATCTCAGGGAGTGTCCACTGAAGGCCAATGGCTTTGGGTGCAGTTGGGCAACTTCTGGGAGAAAAAGAAAGCGAGTCACACACTCTGCTTCCACTCCTCCCCGCGAGCTCAGCGTGGCCACCCTCCTGGTCCTCCTGAAGAGCCCTCAGGGGCTAGACCTTCTGCAGGTCACTACATTCTTGTGAGACAAATGGGCACGAACATCCCCACTCTAAGGTGCTTGGGAGAGATCTTTGTGAACTGTCACAAATGTCACATAACGCTAGTGCATGTGGCCCCCCGCCTCTAAAGCAGGAAGTATAATAGGCAAGGACGCTCACTGCAGCATTGAGATCCAGTGCCCCAGAGGAGGGGACAGTACCCCCAATACCTGTTCAAAAAGATGACACCTTTTTCCAAGTTGTATGGGTGTTGGTTTACCTATTTATTAATCGGGAACCTTTTTAAAATATGTATTTTTTTCTTTATTGATGTTAGAGACAGACAGGAAGGGAGAGAGAGACAGAAACATTGATGAAAGAGAACATTGATTGGCTGCCTCCTGCATGCCCCTCACTGGGGATCGGGCCCACAACCTGGGCATGTGCCCTGACCAGGAATCAAACTGGCAACCTCTTGGTGCAGGGTCGACGCTCAACCACTGAGCCACACCAGCCAAGCCAGGGGAACCATTTTTTTTTTTTTTTTTATCCTCACCTGAGGACATTTTTCCATTTTTTGTTCAGGTAGAGTGGGAGGGAGGGAGAAGAACAGAGAGAGAGAGAAACATCGATGTGAAAGGGACACATCGAGTGGCTGCCACCCGCACGACCGACCAGGGCCGGGGACAAACTGCAACCGAGTACGTGCCCTTAGCGGGAACCGAACCCGGGTCTCTCTGGACCGCAGGCCGACGCTCTAACCGCTGAGCCAAACCGGCCAGGGCAGGGGAACCATTTTTATATAAAAAACCTTTGGAAGCCCTGGCCACTGTGACTTAGTTGGTTGGGCATAGTCCTGTGCACCAAAAGATCACTAGTGCATGTGGCCCTAGTGGTTCGATTCCCATTCAGGCACATTCCCGGGTTTCGTGTTCAATCTTCGGTCGGGGTGTATGTGGGAGGCAACCAATCATTGTTCTCTCTCACATCGATGTTTCCCTTTCCCTCCCTCTCTCTCTCTCTCTCTCCTTTACCCTCTCTCTAAAATCAATAAATATATCCTCAGGTGAGGATTAACAAGCAAAACAAAAAACCTTTGACAAAACCATAAACTATGAAAGATAAAAGCTGAGTCCCTCGGGTGGCGCTGGAGTTGAGAATCTCGGGCCCCAGCCGCAAGAGCTGAGCAGCCCCAGTGGGACCTCCGGAGACCGAGGGCTTCAGGAACCAGGGCCTAGACACCTGTGGGCGCTGTCTCGGAAAGACAACGCACCAAAGAGCTCTACTAAGGGTCGCCAGCAGCAAGACGGGAGTAATAGCATTCTGGGAAAACGTGTATGTACAGCACCATGCACGCAAAACCAACTCTGGAAGGATGCACACCAACAGAGAAGTGGGTGTGACTCGAGGCACTTTTAATTATCACTGTATCTTTCTACCAAGTCCTTCATTCAGAGAATGTCAGTGTCCCACCTTTATCAGTATTACTACTAAACCAACTCAGATGGCTCCGCCTTCAGAAAGCGGCTCAACTGCTCCCTGTCCTCTGGCTCATGGCATCTACATCACGCTGGCCCTAAGTCACAGGAGACCGTACCTGTGCCTGCAGCGTTGACTCTCTGCACAGCCACCTGGCTCCACGCCCCAGGGGCCGCCCCGCAGTCTAACACCCGGAGGCCAGGCCGCAGGATCCGGTGCTTCGCGTCCACCTCCAGAAGTTTGAAGGCGCTACGACACCGATAACTCTCCACCTTCGCAGCTTTCACAAACGGGTCCTTCAAGTGCCTCGTCAGCCACAGGTGCTCCGCACTGGTCCGAGCCTTGTAGTGACTCCCAGCAGTGTGGAACCTGTGTCGCTGCAGGGAAGCACGCACCAGCTTCCAGGACCTGATGAGGGAAAGGGAGCAGGCAATGGGCATCACACAGCCCCAAGTCCTGAGCTCAGCAGGGGCCCTCAGTGTAACCATGCATTTTCACAGATGGGGTACGGCAGCCCAAGAGAGGAGGCAACTTGACAAAGCCACAGCCAGAAAGCAGGTGTATGGACAGAACTGTGATCCCCCAAAATTCATGTTGAAGTCCTAACACCCAGTACCTCAAAATGTGACTGGTCTTTAAGCAGATAATGAAGTAAAAATGAGGTCACATGGGAGGGCCCTAATCCAATAGGACTGGTGTCCTTATAAGAGACTAGGACACACAGGCACAGAGGGACGACCACCTGAGGACACAGGAAGGAGACAGGCCTCAGAAGAAACCAGCCCTGCTGACACCTTGATTTCGGACTGCTCACCGCCAGCCCCGAGACAATACATTTCTGCTGCTAAAGCCCCCAGGCTGCGTGCCTGGTTCTGGCAGCCCAAGCAGACTGACACAGCTACCTGCAGTCCAGAAGTGTTTTGCCCTGGCTGGGTAGCTCGGGTGGTTAGCGCATCATCCCGATAGGCCAAGGTTGTGGGTTCAATCCCCAGCAGGGACATGTTCAAGAACCAACCAATGAATATATCAATAAGTGGAACAACAAATTGATGTTTCTCTCCCTCTCTCTCAAAATCATTCAATAGATTTTTTAAAATAAGTGTTTTTCCTCTCCTAAAGTTTTCTCTGTAAGGAAAACTCAGACATCAGCGACAGTGACCTTGTTTGTGTCAACCAAGATCTTCCCAGTACTGGTTAACAGTACTGATAAAGTTAGTGAAAGATACATTCTTCCCCACCTGGCACAACTTTTCACTAGGCGGCCAGTCTGCGAAAAGCCCCACGAGGACAAGTCCTCCCTTCTACTTGGTTCCTGGGTAAGCAAGTTCAGTGGTTAGCTGAGCCTGACCTTCATTCACATTTCTTAACAAAACTGAATCTACTTGTGTGAATGGTTGAAAGGCAAGTTCCAGTCTCTTTGGAAAAGTGAGGTTTGTAAAGGTTCAGCGACTGCCAGGAGCTATCCAAACCTGCCTATCCCTCAGACCTACAAAATAGGTTCCATATCCATTTTTCTGATGAAAAAAAATCTACCATTATCCCCACTGCTCCAGGCCAAAGCCCCTTCAACACCAGAGCACTTTGACCAGTTCTGGAGACAATAACTCAGGAATCCCGGCCTTCAGATGACAGAAGGGGTCTCATGGGGAGAGGGCACAGAGTGGACCTGGGTGCCAGAACCAATCCCAGCGGGGAGGGGTGGAGAGTGGAGTTACACAAACATATCCCGATTTGGGCAGCTGACCTCTGACCTCCTCCAGCCCCATCCCACATCCTGGATTCAGCCTCATCAGCCTCTATTCTCAGAAGCCCTGTGTCACAGCCTTCAGGCCCGAAGTACACTTCGAAAGCTTCACCTCTACCTGCAGGGCCACCTCTCCTGCCCCCTCCTCTCTACCTGCAGGGCCTCCTCGCCTGCCCCTCCTCTCTACCTGCAGGGCCTCCTCGCCTGCCCCTCCTCTCTACCTGCAGGGCCACCTCTCCTGCCCCCTCCTCTCTACCTGCAGGGCCACCTCGCCTGCCCCCTCCTCTACCTGCAGGGCCACCTCGCCTGCCCCCTCCTACCTGCAGGGCCTCCTCGCCTGCCCCTCCTCTACCTGCAGGGCCACCTCGCCTGCCCCCTCCTCTCTACCTGCAGGGCCTCCTCGCCTGCCCCTCCTCTACCTGCAGGGCCTCCTCGCCTGCCCCTCCTCTCTACCTGCAGGGCCACCTCGCCTGCCCCTCCTCTCTACCTGCAGGGCCACCTCGCCTGCCCCTCCTCTCTACCTGCAGGGCCACCTCGCCTGCCCCTCCTCTCTCTCTCTACCTGCAGGGCCATCTCGCCTGCCCCTTCTCTCTCTCTCTACCTGCAGGGCCACCTCGCCTGCCCCCTCCTCTCTACCTGCAGGGCCACCTCGCCTGCCCCTCCTCTCTACCTGCAGGGCCACCTCGCCTGCCCCTCCTCTCTACCTGCAGGGCCACCTCGTCTGCCCCTCCTCTCTACCTGCAGGGCCACCTCGCCTGCCCCTCCTCTCTACCTGCAGGGCCACCTCACCTGCCCCCTCCTCTCTACCTGCAGGGCCACCTCGCCTGCCCCTCCTCTCTACCTGCAGGGGCCACCTCGCCTGCCCCCTCCTCTACCTGCAGGGGCCACCTCGCCTGCCCCCTCCTCTCTACCTGCAGGGCCACCTCGCCTGCCCCTCCTCTCTCTCTCTACCTGCAGGGCCACCTCGCCTGCCCCCTCCTCTATACCTGCAGGGCCACCTCGCCTGCCCCCTCCTCTCTACCTGCAGGGCCACCTCGCCTGCCCCTCCTCTCTACCTGCAGGGCCACCTCGCCTGCCCCTCCTCTCTACCTGCAGGGCCACCTCGCCTGCCCCTCCTCTCTACCTGCAGGGCCACCTCGCCTGCCCCTCCTCTCTACCTGCAGGGCCACCTCGCCTGCCCCCTCCTCTACCTGCAGGGCCACCTCGCCTGCCCCCTCCTCTACCTGCAGGGCCACCTCGCCTGCCCCCTCCTCTCTACCTGCAGGGCCACCTCGCCTGCCCCTCCTCTCTACCTGCAGGGCCACCTCACCTGCCCCTCCTCTCTACCTGCAGGGCCACCTCGCCTGCCCCCTCCTCTCTACCTGCAGGGTCACCTCGCCTGCCCCTCCTCTCTACCTGCAGGGGCCACCTCTCCTGCCCCCTCCTCTACCTGCAGGGCCACCTCGCCTGCCCCCTCCTCTACCTGCAGGGCCACCTCGCCTGCCCCTCCTCTCTACCTGCAGGGCCACCTCGCCTGCCCCCTCCTCTACCTGCAGGGCCACCTCGCCTGCCCCCTCCTCTACCTGCAGGGCCACCTCGCCTGCCCCTCCTCTCTACCTGCAGGGCCTCCTCGCCTGCCCCTCCTCTCTCTCTCTACCTGCAGGGCCACCTCGCCTGCCCCCTCCTCTATACCTGCAGGGCCACCTCGCCTGCCCCCTCCTCTCTACCTGCAGGGCCACCTCGCCTGCCCCTCCTCTCTACCTGCAGGGCCACCTCGCCTGCCCCTCCTCTCTACCTGCAGGGCCACCTCGCCTGCCCCCTCCTCTCTACCTGCAGGGCCACCTCGCCTGCCCCCTCCTCTACCTGCAGGGGCCACCTCTCCTGCCCCTCCTCTCTACCTGCAGGGCCACCTCGCCTGCCCCTCCTCTTCCTAAAACCCGGCACAGCTCTCTGCCTGCCCGCTGCCCCTCAGAGCCTCGCCGATTGTTCGCTTCGTGTTCGCAGCCCTCCTCCAGGCAGCTGGCCAAGAGCGGACCGACTCAAGAACAGGGCGGAGGTGGGAACTGTGTCCCTTAGGACGAGGACACCGGGGTGGGGGGGCCGCGGCCACTCCCACGACTCACCCCCCGCCACCGCCCGGCTCACCCCGCCATAGGACCCCCCGCCGCCCCGCTCACCCCGCCATAGGACCCCCCGCCGCCCCGCTCACCCCGCCATAGGACCCCCCGCCGCCCCGCTCACCCCGCCATAGGACCCCCCCCCCGCCCCGCTCACCCCGCCATAGGACCCCCCGCCGCCCCGCTCACCCCGCCATAGGACCCCCCCCGCCCCGCTCACCCCGCCATAGGACCCCCCCCCGCCCCGCTCACCCCGCCATAGGACCCCCCGCCGCCCCGCTCACCCCCGCCATAGGACCCCCCGCCGCCCCGCTCACCCCGCCATAGGATCCCCCGCCGCCCCGCTCACCCCCCCATAGGGCCCCCCCGCCGCCCGCTCACCCCGCAATAGGACCCCCCGCCGCCCCGCTCACCCCGCCATAGGACCCCCCCCGCCCCGCTCACCCCGCCATAGGACCCCCCCCCCGCCCCGCTCACCCCGCCATAGGACCCCCCGCCGCCCCGCTCACCCCGCCATAGGACCCCCCCCCGCCCCGCTCACCCCGCCATAGGACCCCCCCGCCGCCCCGCTCACCCCGCCATAGGACCCCCCCCCGCCCCGCTCACCCCGCCATAGGACCCCCCCCCGCCCCGCTCACCCCGCCATAGGACCCCCCGCCGCCCCGCTCACCCCGCCATAGGACCCCCCGCCGCCCCGCTCACCCCGCCATAGGATCCCCCGCCGCCCCGCTCACCCCGCCATAGGACCCCCCGCCGCCCCGCTCACCCCGCCATAGGACCCCCCCGCCGCCCCGCTCACCCCGCCATAGGACCCCCCGCCGCCCCGCTCACCCCGCCATAGGACCCCCCGCCGCCCCGCTCACCCCGCCATAGGACCCCCCGCCGCCCCGCTCACCCCGCCATAGGACGACCTCGCCCAGCTCGAGCCGCCGGAAGTGCCGGCTCCGCTTCCGGCTCGAGGTCACGCCCCCCGGAAGCAGCGTGCTGTCCGAGCGCGCACGGAACCCCGGCCGCGGGAGCTGGGGCGCGGGAGCTGGGGGACGGGCCACGGGGCCGGGAGCACGTGCCCCTCGCCGGCGCTGCCTGCGCTCTGAGGCAGCCGGTCCCCACACCCCGGCCCTGCCGCCCAGCCCGCTGCCCTCCGCCCGCGCCCGCGCGCAGCTGGCCCAGCCGGCCCTCCGCGGAGCCCCCGGGCCATGGGCGCCTCCAGGCTCTACACCCTGGTCCTCGTGCTGCAGCCGCAGCGAGTGCTCCTGGGCATGAAGAAACGCGGCTTCGGGGCCGGCCGCTGGAACGGCTTCGGGGGCAAAGTCCAAGAGGGGGAGACCATCGAGGACGGGGCCAAGAGGTGAGCGAGGCGGGCCTGGGGTGCGCGCCGCCCGAGCCCCGGGCCCAGCAGGGACGTGGCCCTTGAGGCACAGGTGACACACCTGCGGCTGCGCGGCTGCGCGTCCTCCCGCACTGGGAGGCCCCGTTCAGGTCCCAGCCTGGGTACCAATGGGTGGTGCTCCCTTCCTTTCCCTCTAAAATTAACAGTTATTTAATTTAAAAATTTTTAAAAAACAGCCCTGGCCGGTTTGGCTCAGCGGTTGGAGCGTCGGCCTGCGGTCCGGAGAGACCCGGGTTCGGTTCCCGCGAAGGGCACGTACCTCGGTTGCAGTTTGTCCCCGGCCCTGGATGGGTCGTGCAGGTGGCAGTTACTCGATGTGTCCCTTTCACGTCGATGTTTCTCTCTCTCTCTCTCTCCCTCCCTCCCGCTCTATCTGAACGAAAATTGGAAAACTGTCCTTGGGTGAGGATTTAAAAAAATAAATAAATAAATAAATAAAAACCAGCTCCCTACCCCTTAGGGTCACTGCGAAGGCCCGTGAGGCAGCACACGTCAAGGGCTCAGGGCCGGGCCACGCGCCAAGCGCTGAGCACCGTTAGCCGCTGCTGAGGAGGTGGCGGTTCTCAGGCCGGGTTTGGGAAGCTGTTATGCCGGTGTCTTGGGTTGAAAAGGCCTGGCTTCCTCTTTCTAGCTAGGGCTGGTCAGGCCTCCCAACTCCACCCCTCCCTCCCGGGCTCCCGCCTCTAGGACACCCCAAGCTGTCACCCTCCCCACCACTCTCCCTGGCTCATCTGACAAGGCGCTGCCCCTCCCCCAAGCTTTTCTTGATAAATCTCATCCCGTGTGTGTTCCCTTCACTTCCACCCTTTCCAGTCATTTCCTCATTCCTGTCTGTCCTTCCCCAGAGCACATGGGCCGGGACTGAGACTCCCATCGGTCAGGTTTGAGGGGAAGGACAGTGTGTGTCGCGGGAAGTGCAGATCTCCATCGGGACGGCTAAGAACACCCTGCACCCTGACTTCTGTCACAGTGGCTGGTGTGGGCCCATCCAACAACACCCGTGAGTGCATCGTTCAGGACAATCCTTTGTGTCTGGGCTCTTCCTGCCATTCCCTTCGAGTGGAGCAGGGTCTGCTGTCTCGGGCTGTTCGGGGCTCCAGTTATGACCACCCCGCAGCTGCTGCATCCTGAGGCTGGCGTGGGGCTGCTCTCCAGTCCTGCAGGTCTGGGGGCCATGTGCACCCTTTCCTGCTGGGCACTCACCAGGAGGGGCGCTCAGGCGGCCTGCCATAGTGGACGTTGTCGGTTTCCCAAGGTAGCTGTGCTCACTGAAGCGCCACTGATGCGCGAGTCCTGCTTCCTCCGAACCCTTGGCTATCCCGGTGCTTTCCGACTTTTCCGTTCTAGCCACTCTGGTAGGTGGGCTGACACCTCACCGCTTCATTGTTTGCCCAAGTGACTAACGAAGCTACTGAGCACCTGCCCCGTGCTGGTGGCCACTCGGGTGTCCGTGCTTGTGAAGTGTCTGCTCAGGTCTCGTGCCCACTTTTTAAATTGCGCTTGTCACTGTGTCCTTACCGATCCTCTGCTTGGCGCCTGCCCCCAAACGTTACGCGAAGTGTTCGTCACTGCAGACCACTGAGTTCTGCCTCGCGTGGTTGGACACCGTTAGGCAGCCCACGCGAAGGGTCTGTCTGGAGAACCTTGGTCATGATGTAAGCCCCTGCTTACCCCTGATAACCTGCCTGGCTTTGAGGTTCGCGCTGTGGGAAATTAACATGGCTACTCCTGCTGCCTTGTGATTAGTGGTAGCAGGGTTTGTTTTGCTCCAACCATTTACTTTTAATCAGTATGTCTTACTCTTTATTTTTTTAAAATCTTTATAGTTTTTTTAAAATATTTTTCTTTATTGATTTTAGAAAGAGAGGAAGGGTGAGGGAGAGAGAGAGAGAGAAACATAGTTTCGACAGAACATCGATTGGCTGCCTCCTGCATGCTCCCACTGGGGATCAGGCCCACAACCTGGGCACGTGCTCTGACTGGGAATCGAACCTGCGACCTCTTGGTGCAGGGTTCACACTCAACCGCTGAGCTACACTGACTGGGCTGTCTTTTTATTTTTTAATCCTCACCCAAGGATATTTTTCCAGCCATCTTCAGATAGAGTCATGGAGAGAGAGAGAGAGAAACGTCGATGTGAAAGAGACACATCGACTGGGTTGCCTCTCGCTCGACCCCGACCAGGGCCAGCGACTGAACCGCAACCGAGGTACATGCCCTTGCCCGGAATTGAACCCCTGTCTCTTTGGTCAGCTGGTTGACACTCTAACTGCTGAGCCACGGAGGCCAGGGCTTGTCTTTTTTTTTCAATCCTCCCCTGAGGATATTTTTCTATTTATCTTCAGATAGAGTGGGAGGGAGAGAAAGGGAGAGAGACAGAGAGAAACATCCACATGAGAGGGACACACTGACTGGTTGCCTCCCGCACGACCTCGACCAGGGCCTGGGACAACTGCAGCCAAGGTACGTGCCCTTGGCCGGAACTGAACCCGTGACTCACTGGTCCACGGGCTGATGCTCCCACCGCTGAGCCGCCCTGGCCAGGGCTTGTCTTCTGACCGGTGCGCTGGCCCAGCCGGCGTGCAGCATCAACATGACTTGGCTCGGTGCGATCTGCCGCGTTCATCCCTGCTTTCTACTCGTTGCCCTTGTTCTTTCCTCTGCCTTTGTCTTCCCCTCTTCTGCCTTTTGAGGTTCTAACAGCTTTTCACCCGGGTCCTTCCCTCCTTTGTCAGCATGTCAGTTGCACTTCTTTCTCTTTGCCTACAGTCACGTTGGCCCTGGAGTCTGTGATGACTCGCCTGCCCTCCAGGTGTCAGGAGGGTCTCCCAGCAGTGCCCGCCCCGCCCTCCCCGTCCCCGTGCCCTAGTGTCCTTCGCTGTATGCACAAGTAGGCGTCAGCACGGGGACAGGGGAGCGGCTTCGAGGGCGCGTCCCTGCTGTCGCTTGCGGCACACTCGCGCCTGTGAGACCAGAATGAGCGAGATGAAGTGTTTGGCCTGGACATATCCCTCCCTCGATGCTTTTCCTTCTCCGTGTGGATCTACGTTCCTGACCTGTATTACTTGCCTTCTCTCTAAAGAACGTTCAACGTTTCCTACAATAAAGTGCCTGGGTTTTTGAGAAAGTCTTTACTTCTCTGTCCCTTTTGAAGGACAGTTTCACAGGGCACAGAATTCTCGCTTGTCCCTGGCTGGTGTGGTTCAGCAGTTAGCGTGTCAGCCCGAGCACTGAAGGGCCGCAGGTTTGATTCCTGGTCAAGGGCAGGTACCTGGGTTGCAGGTTCGATCCCCAGCCTTGGTTGGGGTTGTGCAGGAGGCAACTAATTGATGTGTCTCTCTCTCATCGATATTTCTTTCCCTCTCCCTCCTCCCTTCTCCCCTCCCTCCCACTCTCTAAAAAGCAATAGAAAAAAATATCCTCAGGTGAGAATTAACGAAAAATAAAAAAAAGAATTGTAGGTTAGTGGGTGTTTTCTCTCAACACTTTAAATATCTCCTCCCCTCTCAACTCTTGCTCGCAGGGTGGCCAAGAAGACAGGTGTGGGTCTTATCTTTGGGTGTCCACTTATTCATAATGACATTTTGTCAAACAGAAGTTTACGATTTTAACGTAACCCCATACGTAACTTCTGTCTCCACGGGTACTGGCGCTCCAGGGCACCTGGACCGGCTTTGCGCCTGCCGGCCAGCAGAGGGCCAGCTCGTCCCTGCGGGCTGTCCAGATGGCACAGCCCCTCCAGTGGCAGACCACGTGTCCCCAGGGGCTGTCAGCCGTGTCATACACAGTAGTGTCCCCCCACAGGTGCCACAGCGGGTGTCCTTTCCTGCTCTCTCCAGTGTCCGCACTACAGGACCGGCTGGACCGATGACCTTGGCACAGCTGGCCAGACGCTGGCTGGACCAAAGCCACTGGGCCACAGCCCACGGCCATGGGCTCCTTCCTCGCCTCTGTCCTGACCTCACCGTGGACCAGGGAGCCATCATAAAATCCGTGGTGTTCTGTTGTTCAGACTTATCCACAGCTTGGTGACAAAGGTCTCAAAGACCCTTTTAGAGCAGCGACTTCCACTTCCAACCGGGGCGCTGCAGGAATGTTTAAAATGCGCACTGCCTGCCTGCCGTCAGGGGCGTGACCTCTTTCTGACCTCTCTTCCCTTAGACTGTCAAGTAAAAACATGACAGCAGCCAGCACAGCAGCAGCCATCCGTGGGAATGAGTCACACGTATACCTGTTTCTCTTGTTGGGCTGTCAGACTGGCGGCGTGCCGCAGGGTTTCAGTGATTGGTTCGTGTGTGCCGTGAGGCGAAGGGGGAAGTCACTCTCAGTGTTCATGAGTCTGCATTTCGGGGCCTCATCCAGCAGGTGGGGCTGTGGAGGGAGCGCCTTTCAGATTCCTGGCATCCACAAGGGTATCCCCGGGAAAACACCCTCCCTGTGTGGCCTTAGGGCGTTATGGTTTCCATGCTCAGAGCAGTAGGCCCGGGCTCTCGCGAACGCAGGGACAGTCCTCACCCTGAGCCTGGGATCAGAAGGTCGGCATCCAGGGCACACTGCCCGCCTCATGAGGACCAGCAGTGGTGAGGACAGGGGGCACCGTGCTGGCTGCCTCCCTGATGGGGACCAGCAGTGGTGAGGACAGGGGGCACCGTGCTGGCTGCCCCCCTGATGGGGACCAGCAGTGGTGAGGACGGGCACCATGCAGGCTGCCCCCCTGATGGGGACCAGCAGTGGTGAGGACGGGGCACCGTGCTGGCTGCAGGGCCGTCAGTCAGCTCTAGGAGCTTCCTCCAGGTGCCTGTCTCCTCTCCCAGGGCACCGCAGGGTATGTGGGTAGAGCTAAGGGTCAGGACGCCTTGGACAAAGGACTGTTGTGCCCCTGTCCCTGTGGCTGGACGGCGCATCCCTATGCAGGTGCGGAGTAGGGCCCAGGGTCCAGCAGCAGATGGGCCTCACTGGCCTCAGGAATGACTCTGCCACCAGCCCCAGGCCTGGCTGCCCCGGCTTCTGACCTGCGAGTGCGTCTCAGTGGTCTGGGGAGGGGGTCTGGGGCCTGCTTTGTCCTCTGAGCTGCCCTTTTGCCCTTTTTCTGTCCCAAAGCAGAGGAAGTTCAAGAGCCTCCCCTGCAGGCTCGGGGTGGCATGTGGGAGTGTCATCCCTTGAAGAACGTGCCAGTGTCCCCCAGGGCGGCATCTGAGCCTCAAGGAGGATGTGTTCTTTTCTTGGGGGAACAGGGCCCCTTGGAGTCTGTTTGGGCTGTAGGAGGGTGGGCACGCCCATCTTTTTGCCCAGCATCCCTGGTGGCCCCCAAAGCGGCGAGGACGCAGACCGCTGTGTCCCCGCTGCACGGAGGCCCCCCACGCACAAGGCAGGTGGCGGCTCAGTTGTGTTCTCTGTCGCCTTTGGGGGAGCTCTGCGCACGCGACCAGACCCCGCCTGTGGCCCTGCGCCAGGCTCTGCCGCCTGGGGCTGCTCACGTTTCACACGCTGCCCTGCACTGGGGGAGGATTCGCCAGAATTAGTCAAAACATTGACTCAGGAGGTGAAGGTTTCAAGGAGATCCACCCGCCTGCTGCCGAGGCGGCCTGCTGAGCGTTTAATTGGAGAGCCACGGGAGCCCCCACGTGAACAAACTGGGTTTTCCAGGTGAAGTCGCATTTCCATTAACTGTCTCCGTGAATAAATTCCAGCTGAAGTGGCCTCCAGGCAGGTCAGGGTGGATCCGCTGAAACGAGACGGCTTTAACCCAGTGTGTGTGTGTTTAATGAACCAGCTGTGTTCCCCGAGTCCCGCGCAGGCAGAGTAGCTGCACCGCGCCCGAGGCCACCTGGATGGAGCAAGGCTAAAGAAACTTCACCCTCAACTATAAACGGCAGGCACAATTAGAACGTTTCTGTAGAATCACATAACTACAGGGCAGAGGGGAACTGAGAGTCTCCAAACTGAGGGGTCGCAGCAGCCTGGGGTCCCCAGAGCCCCCAGCAGACACCCCAGAAAGTGCTCGCCAGGTGCCCAGGTGCCCACGCAGCAGTCAGGGTGAGGACTCGGGGCAGCTGTGTCCGTGCTCGAGGTGGGGGCTGCACATAGCGAGTTGAGACTGTGACCGTCAGCAGTTGAGAAGTGGTTGAAGCCCTGGAGGTGCGGTGTTGCTCTGCCTTGTGGGAAGGGCGCGGGTCTGAAGCGACATGTTCGTAGCTTTGTGCAGGGTGTTCAAAGGAGAAACACCCCGAGGAAAATGCCCAGGTGGTAGCAAGGCCGGGCGAGGGGTCCAGGGCTGCTCATGAGAGTCAGTCTTTGCCGTCACTGTGCAACTGGAAACTTTTTAAAAAAATATATTTTCTTTATTGGTTTTAAAGGGAGAGGGAGACAGAAACATTGATGAGAGAACATCGACCAGCCGCCTCCTTCATGCCCCCCACTGGGGATCGGGCCCACAACCTGGGCATATGCCCTCACCAGGAATCGAACTGGCGACCTCTTGGTGCAGGGTCGACTGGAAACATTGTTAAGTAGGCGGCTCACACTGTGTGCTCGGGGGCATCCTGGCTGTGCAGGTGCCGAGACAGACCCTTCCGGAACACAGCAGCCTGAGCACAGGCCAGCAGGGGGTGCTGAGACAGGCCCGAGATCCCTGCCCAACGACGGAGAGGTGGCTGGAGGGGCGAGGGTTCTCCTTGTAGGCACAGGTTGAAGCAGGAGAGACCTGCACCGTGATCCCTGCTGTCAGCCTGGGAGTGAGGAAGGATGATCTTCAAGTACAAAGGCTCCCGGCCGCCCAAGGGGAGCAGGAGCTGTGGACGGGTGGGGGATCCACGTTCTGCCAACCTCCTCCGTGAGACAGCCAAGCAGCTGTGATCCCCTCCAGGCCCAGACTGTTACATGGTCCACAGTGAGCTCTACGTACCTGAACCAGGGCCCCTCACAGCCCCGATCCCTCCCAGAACCTCTGAACGTTCTAAAAAGGTCCCAGGTAACTGCAGAGCCCTGCAGGTGGGGGCCCCTCATTCAGCCCAGATGACGGCCCTGCGTTTCCACCCACACGTCTCGAACACGTGTGCCGGTCCTCTGTCCTCTCCCGGCGCTGGGCTCGGGCTGTGTGGACGCAGGCACTGTCCATCTGCTCACAGGGAGCTGCAGGAGGAGTGTGGTGTGACCGTGGACGTGCTGCACAAGGTGGGCCACGTCACGTTCGAGTTCGTGGGTGAGCCCGAGCTGATGGACGTACACATCTTCCGCACAGACAGCATCCGCGGGACACCCACGGAGAGCGACGGTGAGTCCCCTCCGCTGGGCCTCAGCAGCCCTGCCCCCGCTCTGGCTGCCCGGGCACCTGCCCAACCCCCTTCCTGCTCTGAAACAGCAGTCGTAAGGATGAAGGTGAAAGCCCCATGCGGCACTGCTTGGAGCCCAGGAAAGGTCCGTTTGGATCTGGGTTGAAATCCATGCTCTTCCCACCCCCACTGCAGAAATGCGACCCCAGTGGTTCCCACGGGACCAGATTCCCTTCGCCGACATGTGGCCGGATGACAGCTACTGGTTTCCCCTCCTGCTTCAGGAGAAGAAGTTCCACGGCTACTTCAAGTTCCAGGGCCAGGACACCATCCTGGACTACAGGCTGCGCGAGGTGGACGCCGTGTAGAGGCAGAGCCGGCCCCTCCGCCCGCCGCGGGCCACGGCCAGCACGAGCCCAGGGCTGTTTGGGGCGTGACTGGATGGGGAGGAAAATAAAGGTCTTCCACCTTTTCAACATTCCTCACCAGACCCTTGTGCTTCTTTTAGACTGGGGGAAACAGGCACAGTCAGGGCCCAAGGTCAAAACCTGTCTAATGCATTGTAGGCTGGTCGCCCTCCTGCACCCCGAGGACGGGGCCGTCGTCCTGCTTTCTGACCAGGAGGTGGGGGCACCACCCACTTACACAAAGAACTCACTTCACCCAACTTTTATAAATATGTTTAATAATAGTCGTTCACGTTCGTTTACTGACAAAAACCTTGGAATGTGGACCATTTGTAAACAATTCCAGTTAGCTGGGTGTGGCAGTATTGACTCTGCGGCCTGGTAAAGTGCTTCACACGCAGAACTGACTCACGCAGGGGAGGAGGAAAGGCCCCTCGCACCCACCCCGACAGCACCAGCCGAGTCCCACACGCCCCCACTGGGCTTGGCTGATGAGTGTCTTTGGTGAACGAGGTGGGCGGGCGGGACCTGCACGCAGCCCTGGAGCAGGAGCGGTGGCTCTGCTGTGGGATAGCACAGCTGGGGTCCTGTCCCAGGACGAGGCTGAGGCGGCACCCTGGCTCCCTGGGGACGGCAAGGGCGGCTCGGGCAGCCAGAGGGCGCAGAAGCGGCGGCCCCTCCCGCCACCCTAAGCCCAGTGCAAGAAGCGCCTCAGCTGGCCCTGGGAGACCTCCCTGTCCCCCGTCCTGCTGCCGCCCCTGGTCTGGTTGGGGGTCTGTGTGACTCCACAGTCCGGTGGTCGCTCGTCCCTCGCCACCAAGAGGCCCCAGCCGGGGACAGCAGCTGCTGAAGAACAGAAGGGGCGGTGGTCACACTTCATGGCCCGAGTGAGCAGTGCTGGGAGGGACCAGCCCTCTGGGGCAGCACAGCTGAGAACCCGTTTCTGAAGAGACCAAAACAGCCCCTCCTGTCAGGACCTGGGAGGGGGGAGGGGGCACTGCCCAGCTCCTCCGCCCAGGAAGGCACGTAGGGGCCACAGCGGGGCCTCGGCAGGGGGCAGCAGAGCCGGCCTCCTCCCACACCGACACTTCCCCCAGGACGGCGATGTGCCTTAGCCTGTCTGCGGCTGCGTTTCCCCTAGAGCAGTGGTTCTCAACCTTCCTAACGCCGCGACCCTGTAACACAGGTCCTCATGTTGTCTGTGGGCGCATCTGCATGTGGGCGGACCTGCCTGGAGACAGTGGTGTCTTGGTTCCTAAGATCACGGGAAATGCGTGTTTTCTGATGGTCTTAGGCGACCCCTGTGAAGGGGTCGCGACCCACAGGTTGAGAACTGCTGCCTAGAGCCTCCACCTCTGCTCAGGGTCCTGCATACTACCAGATGGCACACGGCAGGAGTCGCTACACCAGACAGAAACCCAAGTGGAGCAGGGAGCCTGGAAGGCGGGGCTCCCGTGATCCCATGGTGCAGTCAGAACGTCCTGCACCTGTCCCCCAGGGGCCCACCTGCTCCATGTGCGCAGACAGGGCTCAGAGAGGGGCGCGCCCACCCCCAGCTGCAGTCCCCTCAGCCCCTGGGTGCAGGGAGGAAGGTTCTAGCCTCCCAAAAGAAGCAAGGTCAATTTGAAAGGGTAATCGCAGTGACAGACCCCCCAGTCCATGGCCCTGCCTGAATAACACCCCACTGCCCCCCTGTCCCGCCCTTTAGCCTCAAGCACCAAACAGGAGCCATCTACCCAACAAAAAGGACAGAGCAGCTCCTGGAACCTGGCCTTCCGCACCCCGGACACCCAACGGTAACAGTGCATGCATGTTGAAACCTGGAGGCCAGTCCCAGACCAGGGCCCCCACTGGGGCTCATCCCCTGCAAATGAACAGGTCGAGCGCCCAGTGGCCCTCAGTGCTGCCTCCCCTCTGCCTCTGGCTGCACCACCCCGCCCAGGGCTGTCCACGGGTCTCGCGGCCGGCCGGGCTGCACTCTAACTGACCAGTGTCTTGTCCATGGCTACAGGGACAGTCCTGCCTCCGTGCCGCTCCGGCCTCCTCCTCCCTGCTCAGCTAACGCAGCCCCATCCGCTGTTCCTGCACACGGGTGGGAGGGGTCCCCTGCACATGCCCCAGGCACCATCTGCTGGGAGAGCTGCCCTGGCCGCCCTGCCCTGCCTTCGGGTGCTGGGAGAAAGCCATTCCGGGACGTCTGAACACTTCTCCCCACCAGACCAGCAGGCCACAGTGCTGGGTCAGGGACAACAGCAGCAGACCTTACGTGGCCTCAGCTCCCATGGGCGCTCAGAGACCTGGACTCATGTCCTTGGCCCTGCTCCCTCGAGGGAAGGGGGCCATGGCACCCGGATCTCAGCCCCGCCAGCTCTGACGTCAGCTCTTCTGCTTGAGGGCGGCAGCTGGCAGGACATCCAGCGACAGCTGCCATCTGAACGGACTCAAACAGGGACACACCATTTGGAAAGACGTTTAGTGGGGGCGCCGGGTCCTCTCGGCACTACTGAGGAGACAGGCCGTCCCTCGGGGACCTCGGTGGGGTCAGGGTGCTGGTGGGTCCCACGAAGAGGCAGTGTAGCTTGGGTTTCAGGTCGTTCCACACCTTGCCCATCTGCGGGAAGGGGACAGAGGGTCAGGGTGGGCGCCGCCCCAATGCAGAGCTCTTCATCCAACACCCAGAGACAGCCTGATGCCATCACTGGGCCTGTCACCAGCCCCAGAGCCGCTCCTCCCCTCCCTGCACCACTGCCCACCCCCACAAAGCCCAACGAGGTGTGCACCCAAAACCAGAGTTGTCCCCTGCACGCAGGACTGAAGGGGCATAAGTCTGCCAGACACATAAGTTTAAGAAACATTGTATCACCCTGGCCAGTTTTCTCAGTGGTTAGAGCGTTGACCCTTGGACCAAAGAGTCCTGGGTTCAATTCCAGCCAAGAGCATGTACCTAGGTTGCGGTTCGTCCCCCGGTTGGGGTCATGCAGGAACACATGCATCTATGTGTTCCTCTCACATCGATGTTTCTCGCTCCCTCTCCCTCCCACTCTACTGAAGATAAATGTAAAAAACATCCTCCGGTGAGGATTTAAAAAAAGAAAAAGAAAAAGAAACATTGTATCATTTCTGACACTGTCTACCAGCTCTGCTGCGCTGGCCTTCTGCTCAGCAGGCCCGACCCCAGGACAGCCTCCACCAATGACACACAAGTGAGCAAGACATGGTAGGAAGAAGGCCCACCCGCCAAGCGCTGCGGTGTCCAGGAGACAGGGACCTGTGGGCACAGGGCAGGGAGGCTCCGGCGGGAGGCAGGTGTCCGAGATCAGCACTGGTGGCAGAGTGGCTCATGTGACAACAGAAAGCAGAGCCTGGCCCTGGGGATGTGCAGATGAACAATCTAGTCTCTACATCACAAGACCTGGGACCAGCAGTGTCTGCAGCAGATCCAGGATCGGGTCCCAGCAGGCTCACCCGTATCCTGCCAGGGTTCCACCCAGACTGACCAGTGTGCCCTGGAGCCCTCACATCCGTCACCTGGTGTCCCACTAAAGGCACAGATTCCCACGTCCTGGCCCCTAGAGACAGCATTCAGGGCTGTGGCAGTATCTGTGCCCCATAACCTGCTGTTGAACAAACTCCCCAGGCGGCTCTGACAGTAGCCAGGGTCTTGGCTGTCCTCCAACCTGGTCAGTCTCCGTTGCCTCCAGGCTGGATGGTAACCTCATCTTCTAACCGTGAGCTCTCCATTGTAACCCACCCTCCAGCTGTGGCCGACCTTTGTGCACGACGGACCTGACTTCGCTCTATGGCTGCTCACAGAAGCTGCCCGCCCTGCCCTGCGCAGGCCTCCCCAGAGCGTGGCAGCCCCTTCCTCTCCCACCTGCCACCATCGGGCTCTCCTGCTAGTCTGTGTGGCCCCAGATGGCAGGGCGGGTGAGTCCAGCTGTGTGCGCAGCACAGCCGCAGACCGAGTGGCGACTCGCAGCCCCGTTCCCCAACTCCCCAGGCTGCCGTACTTTATGCCTTTGTTCGGATATGAAGACTGAACCACAGACACTGCCAACCCCACCAAGGCCACAGAGCCCACCACAGCCGCAGAGCCACGGCCACGAGACCGGGGTATGAGTCAGCGTTATGGAAATTCCGAGCCTGACACCCCCATACCAGGCCAAGAAGCTGGAGGGGCCACCGGCTGATGCCCCCTCGGAGGTGACTGCGCAGTACTAAGGCGCCCAGGACAGACCGTGTCGGGAGCAGGGCTGAACTGCCCCAGGCAGTGAGCGTGGGGCTGCAGGGGGTCGGCTCCCGCGTTTCTTCACCCCGGCCTGCCAAGGGCCTCGGCCGCCTGCAGAGGGGCACGCGTGTCGCGGTTTGGGAAGGGGAGCCCAGGGCCAGCGACAGGAGCTAGGGTGGGTGGCTCTGGGTAGTTCGGACCAAGCAGCGTCCGCGTCCACATCTCAGACAACAGCGTTTCTCCCCACAGGGACCAGAGCCTGGAGGCGGCTGAGCGGCTGACACCCCCACTCCGGTGCCCCACCTCTCACCCTGACCCCCATCCTTCTCTCAGTTCTGGGGACCTGCTTTACCTGCCCGCTGGATCCCTCCAGAGACAAGAAGTGCTCCCAAGGCCTCGCCCTGCCCCCACCCCCGCCCCCACTCCCACCCCCACCCCCACCCCCGGGGCCTGAGGACAACCCGGCTGCACAAGGCGCAGGAGATCTGGGCAGTGTGGAGGGGCCTGTGCTCTCCCCACTAGCTCTCCTAAGGCATCCTTCAGGGTCGGCCGCAAGGGAGGCACTGGCCAAGACGGGGTGCGCAGGGGAGCCCACCTCCTTGTGTCCCTGGATCTGGGAGTTGACAAAGGCCCCGAGAATGTGGGAGGTGAGGGGCAGGTAGACGTGGACCAGCTGCGTCTCCTGGTGCAGGCAGTACAGGGAGAAGTGGTTCCGGAGCTCCATCGTCTGGATGGCGTTCTCCTGCTGTGGAGCAAAGAGCCTCCCTCGCTCCCGGCCCGGCGGACAGTCCTGGCCACACACTGCCGTCCTCCAGGGCCCACCCACCCTCCCTCCCTGCAACTCCCACAGGGCCAGCCGGGCGCCCAGCGGTGCAGAGGGAACCACCAAGGACGTCTGAAGTGTGGCTCCGGGATTGCCGGAGGCCCCCAGCCCCCCAGGCCCGGAGCACCCCCAGCCCCCCACGCCCGGAGCACCCCCAGCCCCCACGCCCGGAGCACCTCCACGATGCGCGACTCCAGCTGCTCCACGGCCTCGGGCTCGCGGCTGTGCACGGCGGCGCTCATCTGCCTCTTCATCAGGCCGTACTTGTGCAGGGCCCGCTGGTGCTTGTGCAGCACACCCTTCTCGTGCCGCTCGCACAGGTCCTGGGGGGAGCGAGAGCTGCAGCCCCGCCCGCAGAGGGCGCACCATGGGGAAGGCGGACCCAGAGTCGGTGCTATGAGCATCCCACGTGTGAGAGGCCTTTCCAAGATGACTTTTCTCTTAAAAGGGTCCACACACACCCACTCACTCCACGCTCAGAAAGTGCTCAAGGGAGAGAGCAGCTCCGATGAGGGGCCCTGGCTGAACCACACACCAAACCCACGTGAGATGCACCACGTGTGGGCAGAAGTGGACGCCCCCTCCAGAAAGCAGCACCCCTCCAGCAGCGGGAAGGAGCACGGCCTCTCCCCGGGGCCTGAAATACCCCAATCAGAAGTCCCGGGGGAAACGAGCCGCACCGTCACCGGCTGGCCGCCAGCCCACTCCGTGGAGGAAACTCCTGGAACATTCCCACAGCGCTGGGCCAGCTCCGTGAGCTCACACGGGGCTCAGGCTTCACAGATGAGACATTCCACCATGACACCCGCGGGCAGAAAGTCGCCGGGCCGGGGCTGAGGCCCAGCACCTCTGAACCTCCTCCGCTGGAGAGGCGGGCGAGCTCTGCAGAGCTGCGGTATCCCCACAAGGCACACGTGTGCGCGCGCGCGCGCACACACACACACACACACACACACACACCCCGCTCGAAGATCAGGGACACCTGCTGGGCCACAGCCCAGAGCACTCCACAGCACTTGCCAAGGGGCCATGACATCAGAGATTCAACTGCACAGCCCCTGCCCTCCACGCCCGGGCTCCCCGACTCTTCCCAGCCCCGGGGAAGACCACAGGAGCTTCTCAAGAGCTCTGCCCCAACGGGGTACAGCCCAGACTCACTTTATAGGACTGGAGCAAGTCCAGGAAGAGGTTCAGCTTCTCCACCACGTCAGTCTCTTCCTGTTTTCCCTAGAACACAGGCTGGGTTACCCGCCGCCAAGCACACGCAGGACCGAGACCCACCGGAGTCATGCTGTCCGCAGGCCTGGGCAGGCCTTCCCCAGAACCTCAGCCAGCTCTGCAGAAGAGCCCACACCCGACAGCCCCAACACAAGGCAGAAAAGCCGCAGAACCCAGTGTCTGATGAGTGGGCCACCTGCCCACACGTGCTGGCTTTCGACACTGCATGTCCTTCCCACGTTCCAAAGCCACCTCTCCCACATGCACCAGGACAGTCAGCGCTCCAATGCCCGCCCAGCAGCTCGCCAGCCCTACAGAAACCTGAGTGTCCACCTGGAGCTGGGAGCTTGCTGGACAGGCAAAGCCAGTGGGAGGGACGTGGCTGGACAGAGGGAGTCAGTCATGCAGCTTTAACAGGCTGTGGGCAGGGACAGTCTGTAGCAGCAGGACTGCCTGTGACACACCTGAACACAGGTGTGTGGTGCTGAGGCTGACACAGGAGATGCGAGAGGGCCGCCTGTGGCCACACGGGGGGGAAGGGCCAGAAGGCACATCTGGATCCCACACATGATGTGCACACAGGTGGTACAGCCATCGAGATAAACCGACAGGCACAGAGTGAGCACGCAGTGAACCGCACAGATCATTTGCAAAACCACAGAGACCTGCCGTGGCAGGTGGGCGTCCCTGGTAATGACAGAGGGGGTGAGGTGCCGCTCTTGGAGTACTCACAGCACCCTGGGAACACAAATACGACTGGGTCAGCTTAGTGCCTCTCACGGCTGTTAGCCGAACACCTGCCCCAGGTGTTAGCTGAGACCTCTTCCAGGTGTTAGCCAAACACCTGCCCCAAGTGTTAGCTGAGCCCCTGCCCCAGGTGTGAGCTGAGCCCCTGCCCCAGGTGTGAGCTGAGCACCTCTCTCAGGTGCACCACCAGCTCCTCAGGGAAGCGGGTCCCAAGACAACATCTAGAGCTGCAGTGTGGCCCACAGTGGAAAGCTCATCTCATAGCCCACAGGGAGGGTGCAGCCAGGAGGAAGCAGACGAGAAGGAATGAGAAGGGCAAGTCTGATGGGGACACAGCAGTGGCCTGGGAGCCAGGGGCTCCTGCTAAGGCTCTGGCACCACCTCGGGACCAGGGGTGCTTGGGCCCGAGCTCAGAGCGGTGAGGCTACAAGAACATGCCCGGTGGCCAGAGGCGCCCAGATCCTTAGGCTCTCAGGGCTCTCCCCAATCACGTCACCTGCTGACAAGTCCTGTTTCTGGTTCACTGCCTCACAGACCCCAAACCACCACCACCTGTGCCTTTACCAGGAACATCCTGTCACCATGGAAACAGCCCACCTGGGTCTCACCTCTCTGGCCGGGACAGTTGCCAGGTCTCCCAGCAGGTCTGGGGAGAACAGACCAGGACACGTGAGACAGAATTAGGGAACCAGCCCTCACTCATCCTCGCTCGCTCAGCGAGAGCAAGTCCTGGGGGGTCGCTGGTCCGACCCAGATTCACGTTAAAACTACTCATCTCACTTCAATGTGAAAGCCACCAAGGGCAACGAGAATATCCAGGAAATGACACCTCTTCAGATGTGAGATTTCAAAACAGCACTCAAGAAACCAGATCAGTCTTGAAGCCGGAGGAACGTCCAACTTCAAGCTCAAACCACATCGGAAGCCGGGCCCTGGCCCTGCCCCTCGTCCGGGTGGAATCGGCGTCTGAGTCCGAATCAGAAAAGACGCTAGAAATAATCCAGGGAGGGGTTTCCATACTGTCCTCGGGGTCAGGGGGAACCTGTCCCAACCCTAGGCTACCTGGGAAGTAGGAGCAGTGTGGGCCAAGGGCCTGCAACAACAGCTTCATTTTATATATATTTACTCCTCACCCGCGGGCTGGTTATTTTTTTGTTTGAGAGAGAGGAAAAGAGGGGGAGGGGGAGAGAGAAACATGAGTGAGAGAGAAACATGGATCAGTTGCCTCCCGTACGCACCGTTGCCAGGGATCGAACCCACAACTCAGGCATGTGCCCCGCCTGAGAATGGGACCTGAGACTCTCACACGGGACAAGGCTCCAACTGACCGAGCAGCAGCCAGGGCAGAATCGCTTGCTTGTGTTTTACAGGCCGAGCTTTGAGCAGAGGTCCAGCAAGTCAGATGAAATGTGTTCTTAATGATCCAGCCCAGCCCGCTTGCTTTCCACCGACGGGGAAACGGGCACCAGATCAAAGTAACCTCAGCGAGGTCCCAGCACAGGGCTCTGCGGGGCGCACGGGGTGCGCCCGCCTCTCCCCACCGCCAGACCGCCGCAGCCACGTCCTGGGTCCTCCCCCAACTGTCAGACTGGAGGTGGCCCGGCTCCAGCACCAGCCCCCAGAGACCAGCGCCGCCCACCGTCTCTGCAGAGAACACACAGGCGCCGGCGGCAGAGAGAAAGCCCAGGACTTTCCAGACCAGCAGCAAGAACAGTCCCTCATCAGCCCTGAGAGGCATCGTGGGCGCCCTGAGCGCCACCTGGAGCCGGAAAAGCCCCCGGCGGCACCGCCACAGACCCGCCACCACTGTGTGGTTCTCCGGCTTGCTGCCAGGCAGGCTGCCAGGCCCTCACAGATCACATGGCTTCGGGTCATTTGAAACCGTCTGCTGCCTGGCCGGTGTGGCTCTGGACTGAGCGTGGTCCCGTGGACTGAGAGGTCCCGGTTCCATTCCTGGTCGGGACACAGGCCCGGGCTGTGGGCTCGACCCCCAGTAGGGGGCGTGCAGGAGGCAGCTGATCCATGTGTCTCTCTCACATGGATGTTTCTATCCCTCTCTCGCTTCCTCTCTCATAAAATCAATTAAAAAAACATGTTAAATAAGTAAAACCATCTGCTAGCAGCCTCAACGCCATTCCCCAAGAACGAGGCAGCCAACTCCCACCTGGGAGTTCTGAGTTTTACAGGAGAAAAGCAGCCAGATGACCCCTTCGGCCTGAGGGTAACAGTCCTCACACAGCACCTGCCCGCCCGGCAGACGCCTCTCCTGGGGTCCAGTGGGTGGGGCAGCACAGCGACGTGGGTCGGGTGCAACCAGGAGTGACACCCACGGTGGCAGTTTCAAGGCCCATCATCTCTTCTTGGCAAACTCTCAGGACCAGAACCCCATCTGCTTTGCTGCCAGCAACCCTCCCACGGGGAGCCACCCGGAACAGATGGGGACGTGCGGTCCTGGCCCGAGAGCAGTGGCCACTCGCTCCCGACTCAGAAGTCTGCCGTCACCTGGGGAGATGCTGCCGCAGGCGGGCCCGGGGGTTCCCTGCAGCAGGAGCGGCGGGGGCTCCACTCACCTGCTGCGCAGCCTTGTCGGCGAGCAGCGCGAACTCCACGGACAGGCCTTTCAGCGCCTGTTTGAGGGACCCCCACGTGCTACTGTTCAGAGCGGCCCAGGAGGGGAGTGGGGTCGTGTCAGACCCTAAAGCACTGCGAGAAAACAACAGGAGGAGACACTCAGGGCCAGTCCGACCGACGCCACGTCATCGGGGTCACCTGCACATCTGCTAACCTGGACCCTCGCTACTCAAAGTGTGGCCTCGGGGCGCCTGGGAGCCTGCTAGGAAGACCCATCTCAGCCCCCACCTGCTGCCCCGCCTCCTCCCTGCTGGACCACCTGCTGGGTGCAGGGCGTTCCAGGTGAAGGCCCGCCTCCTCCACAGCACAGGGGTACCCAGCCCTCCTGCCCTTTCCGAAGTCAGTCTTCCTGTCTGACCCTGACAGCAGGGAAATGACCAGCGAGAAGCTGGCAAGCAGCCATGTGTGGGAATCCACAACTCTGCCTAAATCCTCCATCTTCTTCTCCCAGATGTGATCCCCCATTTGCCCAACACCTCCCCTTCCCTTTGGACTGAAACAAGGCAGAAAGAGGGTCATCATGGTAAACACCTAAGCCCAGCACCGAAGCCCAAGCCACCCCCACCTAACGGACCACCTGCCTTAATTCCTTCCCGAACATGAGAAGGTCAGCAGCATTGTCGATGGCCCTGGACGCCATCCGCTCGGCCCGGTCGCGAAGCTTGTAAAAGCTGTTGTGGATGTTTCTGATCAGCTCCCGGCTGACCGCAAACTGAGTCTGAATGTCGGCTGGCAGGAAGTCCTGACAGGAGAGGAAACTGCATCACCAGACGTGTGACGCCCTTCGGGAAAGATGACCCACAGGAGACAGACAGGTCACTGAGCCCAAACTCTAGATCCAGGTCACGTGGAGACCAGTCCGGGACCCCTCGTGTCTAAGAGAAACTTCGCCACACAAACAGCCAAATGATCCTGCGAGGTCACGACCCTAGTGTCCACTGAAACTGCCCAAACTGAGGTCCTGCCGAAAACACCCAGAGAATGACCTTCCACTTGGGATCATGGGTATAGAGCCCTGACTGTCCACCCACATGAAGGACCTCTGCGGCCTCATTTTCCACCAGCTTCACCGTTAACCAGCTGCATCACGCTTGGAAAACAGGAAGCTTAAGGAATAAAATGAAGGTAAAGGCTCTCTTGAGATTTTGTTTGGAAAAGCAGCTTAAGAAGAAAAAAGAGCTACTGAACAGCTACTGTAATCCTTTTGAGAAAAAGACCAGATTAACTAAACTTAAAATAAATCATGGCTGCCTAGCCGGTGTGGCTCAGTGGTTGAGCACTGATTCATGCACCAAGAGGCCGCCGGTTCGATTTCCGGTGCCCAGGTTGTGGGCACGATCCCCAGGGGGGACATGTAGGAGGCAGCCAGTCGATGTTCTCTCATCAATGTTTCTCTCTCTCTCTTCCTCTCCCTTCCTCTCTCTCTAAAATCAATAAAGAGCCCTGGCCAGTTTGGCTCAGCGGTTAGAGCGTTGGCCTGCGGTCCGGAGAGACCCGGGTTCGGTTCCCGCTAAGGGCACGTGCTTCGGTTGCAGTTTGTCCCCGGCCCTGGTTGGTCGTACGGGTGGCAGCCACTCGATGTGTCCCTTCACGTCGATGTTTCTCTCTCTCTCTCCCTTCCTCTCTCTCCCTCCCACTCTAGCTGTACAAAAAAATGGAAAAAATATCCTCGGGTGAGGATTAAAAAAAAAAAAAAAAAAAAATCAATAAAGAAAAAAAAATTATTTTTAATAAAATAAAACAAATCACGGCGACCGTCAGTGCCCTGAAATCCGAAAGGCTGGTGACCAAGCGTGTGTCCATCTGAGCCACAGGAGCCTGGGGCGGGAGGGAGCACCTGCTGGCCCGGGCGGCACGGCGCTGCTGTCCACGAGCTTGGCAGGTGGCAGCCTCCCTGACCTGTGGCCTCTGCACGGAGGGCACCGGCCGTGAAGCGTGGGTGAAGTGAGGGCCCTGGCACGCCGGAGACCCAGTCCACACTGCCGACAGAGGTGGTTACTGCCCTGGGGAGCGGGAGTCGCAACCAAGCCCAGACGCGTACCTTGGCCCGAGGCGCCAGCTTACAGCTCAGGAACTCATCTCCAGCACACTGAGCCGACTCCTTCAACTTACTCTGTACGTCCTGCAAAAGGGGAGAAGAAACAGCCGCTGCAGCCGGCAACAGTGGGCCGAGCCGTCTGTGACAGCAAGCCCGGCCCTGCCCCAGAGCCGTGCCCCAGGCCGCTGCAGGGCGAGAGCCCCACCCCTCGCTGGCCGGTCCCCATCCCCGCTGCTCTTAGGCGCCAGGGTGGGCGCCCAGGGGCCGGAGCCTGACTTCTCAGTCCGCAGCTGCACGCAGCCAGCTCTGCAGCGGGAACCCCTCCCCTCCACTACAGACCCTGCCGACTTGTTAGGGCCACAGGGGAGCAGAAATGGAAGCTGGGTTCCGCCTTCCTGGGGACAGACCTGGGAGCTGGTGGGCAGAGGGTGTGGCACGCGGGTCCTGACCGGCCCCGGCCATGCTGAAGGAGAAGGCCCCAGAAAGAGCCCGGGACATGCAGGCAGACACCCTAACACAGCTGTTCGGGGGGTGGAATCCAAAACTTCAGAGATGCCCTGAAGATGTCGGAACCCTCTCGTTCCACAAAACAAGGGAACAGAGCCCTGGCCGGTGTGCCCGTGGATAGAGCATCGACCCGCACACCGAAGGGTCACAGGTTCGATTCCTGGTCGCGAGCAAGTACCTGGGTTGCAGGTTCGATCCCCAGCCCCAGCTGGGGGGCCTGTGCAGGAGGCAGCCAATCGCTGTCTCTCTCACATCAATGTTTCTCTCTCCCCTCACCTCCCTCTCACTCTCTCTGAAAAAATTAATGGAAAAATACTCTCAGGTGAGCATTGAGAGAGCGAGAACGAGGTCGGGGTTCCAGGGATACCCCATCTGTGTAAAAAGCCAAGGGGTCGGTGGAGATAAAGCGTCCTGACCAGGTGGCCTGGCTGGACCCCAGCCGCACCCGCCGCTCCCCCTCCTTGGGCTCCAGCCAGCGCGGCTCCCGTGGCCCAATTCCTCTTCTGCGGCAAGTTCTCTGTTCTGGGGGAACCGGCCTACTCCCAGGAACAAAGCCCACACCCCCGCTATGTGCGCAGCACCCACACGTCCCAGTGGGAACGCCTGAGGTGTCTCCAGGGGCCAGAGGCCGGTTCTGCCTCTAGGACGCCAGGGGAAGGGGAGCCAGCTCCGCCAGCTCTGCCCTGTGCTCTGACCCTGGGCCACCCTGCAGCAGGGCTGAGGGTGGGGCCAAGCCCCTTCCCGGGCCCCGCTTAACATGGGTCCCTCCCACAGAGGGGACAGAAACACGTGCACCGCACCAGCCACATGTCCTGGATGGAGCTCCATCCCACCCCCACAAGGAGAGGGTCCCCCGGGCAAAACCGCCCTTGCCACGCAGAGCTGACTGTCCCGCTTCCTGCCGCTAATCTCCACGCCTGCCTGCAGTCTGGGGGAGCTGCCACCCTGGTTTCTAACTGAAACTGAAGTGCTGCAGACTACTCCCAGGACACGCCCACCAAAGCGCTGGCTGGTGTTTCTGGTGGCCCTTCGTCCAACGTGGCCTTTGTTAGAAGTAAACACTCATTCACATCAGGAGTCCATGAACCCTCCAAACCACACAGCCACCCCCGTGCACCAGCGTCAGGTCCCAGTGGCACTGAGAACACCGCTCCACGCAGACACCCAACACCCTGCAACGTCCAGTCCCACCTGACCTGCCACTCGGGCCGACGACGGTCTTAGCCGTGGCGCTGCTGTGAAACAGACCCTCAGGGCAGCCACACCGGGACACAGACAGGACACAGGGCTGAGGGCCAGGACCCGCCGTGTCTCTCGTGTACTCACGGGGCCACTGAAGGACAGGAACAACCTGAGGACCACGTCCTCCGAGAAGGGGGGGTGCCGGGCCACCAGGTTGATGAAACGCTTCAGGGCTCTCCTCCGGGCTTCGATGAACTCCCTGTCCGCTGAAGACAGAACACGGGGTCACCTAGCAGACTCCGGGGCACACACCCCTTCGGGTGGGGGACCCTGCGCTCTTGGGGCCCAAGGCTGTCCATGCGGAGTGTGTGGAGCATCTGAGAGAGGAGCCCAGAGCTGGCGCACGGCCAATGGACATCACACCCAAAGAGGCTGAGGGAGCCCTGGCCGGTTTGGCTCAGCGGTTGGAGCGTCGGCCTGCGGTCCGGAGAGACCCGGGTTTGGTTCCCACTAGGAGCGTGTACCTCAGTTGCAGTTTGTCCCCGGCCCTGGTTGGTCATGCGGGTGGCAGCCACTCGATGTGTCCCTTTCACGTCGATGTTTCTCTCTCTCTCTCTCTCTCTCTTCCTCTCTCCCTCCCACTCTATCTGAACAAAAAATGAAAAAATGTCCTTGGGTGAGGATAAAAATATATATATATATTATTTTTAGCCCGGCCAGTGTGGCTCAGTGGTTGCACCAAGAGGTCACCAGTTTGGTTCCCAGTCAGGACACATGCCCAGGTTGTGGGCCCGATCCCCAGTGGGGGCAAGCAGGAGGCGGTCAATCGATGTTTCCATCTCTCTCCCTCTCCCTTCCTCTCTCTCTAAAAATCAAAAAAGGAAAAAACATATGTATTATTTTTAAGTCACTGAGAAACAGCCCTGCAGAGCAGCAGACACCGCCCCGGAAGGCCGGCTCACGGATGCTGACCCGCAGGGCCGGCAGTCCTGAGCCCGAAGCAGCGACCACACCGTGGGGCCCGGCGCACAGGTCTCAGTAAGCGTTCACCTTCCGCAGGACACTCGGTGCCGCCTGCCCCACGCACCCTCCCTGTCCACGTCACGACAGGCCCTTACGTGGGTGAGAAGAAAGTCCCATCATCTAGACTCTGAGGCCGTGACCGGGAGAGGAGAAGGTCTGTAGGCACAAGGCTAAGATTTCGGAATGCCAGGGGCTAGAAGTCTGTATTGAATCTCCAGCTACTTCCCTTTCAAGTGCAGCGTCACTTTGGCATCGCAAGGAAAACAGCAGAAAACCAGCCCTCGGCCTTGGGCTCTCGCCCTCTCCTCGAGTTCTACTCCGAGCCTGAGAACAGGCTGTGACACCGAGGTCACGGACACGGCCGGAAGGCAGCTGCATCCCGGGGGACACAGGCCATCCAGAGGGCCGGAACCTGCGGGCTCACCGAGCCCCAGGTAAGTGCAGGTGCAGCGGGGAAGATGTGGCATTTTTAAATGTCCTTCGAGATTGGATTAGATTAGGCGGCCTCCCCTCCGTGCTTCCCTGCCCCTCTGAGAAGCCACCTAGTGCCGGGGGGGCAGTGAGGTCCCCAGGCCTTGCAAGCGCAGGTGGAACAGCAGCATTCTGGGCCCCCCCCAGGAGCTCCAGCACATCCGGGCTCCAGCCAGGAAGGAGCACTGGGGTCCGCTCCTTCTCCCTTGACAACGGGGCCAAGCAGAGGGCCTAGCTGTGACCCGGGACTGTGGGGGGGTGGTTACTGCGCGGGGGGACGACAACCAGGAGCAGACAGTAGAGCTCAGCACCCGGGGGCAGCCCACTCCCAACGCCCCAGGGCCCAGCTGTACCTCCCAGCGCCCTCTTGGGCGGCAGGCTGGGCACCATGCGGTACGGGAACTTCTGCAGCAGCAGCTCGCGGAAGACCACGAAGTCGTTGTACCGTCTGTGCACGGAGGACCTGAAGCGCTGCGAGGCCGAGGGATGCGCGCTCAGAGGGAGCCCCGTCCCCTGAACCCGCGGCAATGACGCCGCGAGCCCTCAGCTTCCCGCCAGGCCTCACCGGGCAGAAGCGCTTGCCTGACAACGTGCGCGCAGCCGTGTCTACAATGCGACATGCTGCGTGGGTTCCCAATAACACAGCCCAGCGGACAAAGCTGGCCTGGGAGGCTACACACTGTGTGATCCCAGCTCTGTGACTCTCTGGAAAAGGCAGGACTATGGGCAGTAGAGAGGTCAGGGGCTGCCAGGGGTAGGGGCCGAGGGGGGGTGAGCAGGGGCAGCACGGGGGACTCGGGGGCACATGACAAGCACGTGGACACATGTTGTCAGCATTTGTCCAAACCCGTGGAACCTGCAGGGGCCCTGGTGCAGACTGGGCCCGGGTGGTAGGGAGTCAGTGTGGGGCCGCCGACTGCAGCAAACGCACCCCTCTGGTGCGGTGCTGGGAGCGGAGGAGGCTGTGCGTGTGGGGTCGGTGGGAGCGGGAAATCTGTACCTTCTGCTATAGCCTGAAACTGCCCCAACTAGAGAGTCTATAAAAACGGTAAGTGTGGCCCGGGCCGGTTTTGCTCAGTGGTTAGAGCGTCGGCCTGCGGTCTGGAGAGACCCGGGTTCGGTTCCCGCTAAGGGCACGTACCTCGGTTGCAGTTTGTCCCCGTGCGGGTGGCAACCACTCGATGTGTCCCTTTCACGTCGATGTTTCTCTCTCTCTCCCTCTCCCTCTCACTCTATCTGAACAAAATATCAAAAAAATGTCCTCGGGTGAGGATAAAAAAAACAAAACGGTAAGTGTGCACATGAAGGACAAACAAGAAGTCAGGTGTGCCCACCTCTATGGGGATCCTGCCCAAACGCACCTAAGCAGCAGCGCCCCGGAGCACAGGGATGGCGAGGGCAGTCTGCGCCACCAGGTGCAGGGACGTGAACACCCTGGCAAGGCCTGCTGGGCAGCCCGCTCCCTGCCACCCACTCCTGGGCCTCTCCTTGAGGCCAAGCGCCCGGACGCCCTGGCCATACATGGGTTACCTGGCTGGAAACCTCGTACTCCACATGCTTCAGGAAGAGGCCCTTCTTCTCGGGGACGAGGTCCACCTGCACATTGTCCCTGGCCAGCAGCTCCTGCAGGCTGTGCGAGAGCAGCAGCGGGTTCCCCTGCGGCACCTGCATTCGACCGGGGTCCGGGTCCCTCTGCTCGCTGACCTGGGGCATGGGCAAGTCTGCAGGAGAGAAGGTGATGCTCAGCAGGACCGCCACTCGGAAAGGGGGCTTCTGCCAGCTCTCAGCCCCCGCACCGTCAGCTAGCCCCGTACAGTGACTCAGGCACCGGCAAACCCCATGCCCGCCCAGGTCACACCCGCTCATTCACTCATGAAGCCGGTGCTCAGAGCCATGCCTGCTCTGAGGGCCTGTCTACCCATGAACCAGCAAATACACCCGCATTTCTAGGGCCAGTCAAATCTCATTCAACATGGGGAAGGAAAGGAAAGTGCCAGGTCCTGTGCGAGAGAGTCCTTTTCTCTAGAGCAGAGTAAAGGGGTGTGAAACGAAAGTACTGGCCGCGTATCTGACTGCGGGCCCTGGGTCTCCACAACACAGACCAGCTCAGTCCTTCTCATGGGAGACTCCTGCATGCCTGCCTAGGGCTAGGATCCCTAGTCCTGCAAATCGAAGGCTCAAGCCCCCAAATTTCAGCTCCGTGCAGACAAGAGTCGGCACGCACCGCCCACACAGCGGCGGCGGCTGCAGAGACGCTAACCCTAACGAACGCACAAGCAGGAAAGTCACGCTAAGAAGTCAGATCGGTTTTCAGGGCAGAGCTCCAAAGAGAAAAAACTCTTTTCAATAAAAAACTATGTCGAGGGCCCCCACAGGGGAAGGTCTCATGCCAGTCAGTACAGGCAAGTGCAGATGTCTCTTTTTTCCAGACTTCCCAGTGTGGCTGTATCGCCTTCCATGACTGACTCTTACCGCGACAGTCCTCTGGGTGACACTCTGCAGAGAGCTGATGACGGGGCTACCTGCACCTGTGAAATCACGCAAAATCACTCGGCGTTTGAGGAGTTAAAATGTAGCTGCCTTTATCTGACCTTAAAGCCTAAGAAAAAAAATAAACCAAGGCCCAACTTTTACTCGGGAGCCCCCAGGGCCCAGAGAACTAAGTAGCCAGTGCTCAGAGACCGTGAGTGCCCAGGGACAGAGCAGTCCTCAGGCGGAGGGACAGCGGCCCTTCCATCTGCACTTGCATCTCTTCCTTCTTCTTTTTTAAATGTTTTTATTGGTTTCACAAGAAGAAGGAAGGGGGAGAGAGAAACATCAACCGGCTGCCTCCTGCACACCCCCTACTGGGGATTGAGCCCACAACCCAGGCGTGTGCTCTGACCAGGAATTGAACCAGGACCTATCAGTCCATGGGACAACGCTCAACCACTGAGCCACACCGGCCGGGCCCCTCTTCCTTCTTAATTCCTGTTCTGTGGCCTTACTGTCAATGTAGTCACACAAGGTAGTCACACGCATGTAACTTGTTAAAACGTGTGTGTCTGTGTGTACGCATGAGTGTGAGTGTAATAGGGGTGTGCATGTGTGTATGTGTATGTGAGTGTCAATAAGCAACAGCATTTCTTCACACCTGCCCCAGGGACACAGCGACGACGGGCGATGCTGAGCCTAGTAACCATCCACCCATTCAGCAAACAGCCCAAGTGTCCACCACTGCCAGCTGCAGCCTGCAAACATCCAGAAGGGGGCATGGGGCGTGTGCTGGGGCAACAGTACCAAAGCCCTGAGGGTTGGAGAGAGGGGGCGGCACAGACCAGGACGCACCCCGAGAGGGCAGCTCACCATCCGTTCTCAGTGGCGCCCTGGGAACTGAAAATAAAACATGGGAACTGAACGACAGGGAACTGAGTGGCACGAGAAAGCGCCCATTTAATGAAAAATGAAGCCGGAATGAACAGAGAGAAACCAGAGGAGGCAGGGAAGACCCTTGGGGGCACCGAGGTCTCTCCACACCATTAAGTGAGATGGTGTGTGACAGAAGCCAGACACAAAAGACCAGGCGTGGGACGGTTCCATCCCCGTGAAACACCCAGAAGAGGCCAAAAGCACAAACAGAAAGCAGGGCAGAGCCGGTCCTGGGCCACGACTCCACGCTTCCATTCACTGAACTAGGACAGCGCGCGTTTCCCACAAAATCAGGAAGGCAGACCAGCTCCGCTGCCACGTGAGGGACCTCACCTGCCAGAGGGCAGGCTCCTGTAGACGAATGGCCAAGGTCACCGACAGGCTTTGACAGTCCAAACAAAGGGACACCCTCACAAGCCAATTCAAGAGCAGAGCCTGGACGAGGCCCCACGGAGACAGAACAGGTTGGAGAGGAGGCCAACCAGGCCCCGCACCAGAAGGCTGGGGACGGGACGGGTTCTGACCTCGGACAGGCATGGGCTGAAGTCAGCTTCTGTCACTGCCTAGCTGTGTGGCCTAGTGAGCGGCCACCTGAGCTCAGTCAGTGAACTAAGGGTAAGGGTGCAGCCCTGGGCCCGGCCCTCACCCTTGTGTCCTGACCACAGGCCTCTCGACGGGCACCCCAGCTCTGACCCGCAGGCACAGGGCGGCCCCGCCATGCGGCCAGCCTCCAATGCACCGATGAAACTGCAGACGCACAGATGCAGTTGTCCCACCACATGCGCCAGCCTGCAGCAGGCATCCCGCCAGGTCTGTGTCCAGAGCTGTCCAGCTCCAGGATTCCATCAGCAGTGACATCTGGGGACCTTGCTCACCAGAGTCCAAAGGCCCAGAAACACCGGGGTCTGCCCAGTGAGCCATGCCATCACCCATGCCCTAGTTTTGCCAAGCCGACCTCACTCAGCAAATGCTGATCGGGGCAGAAGTCCCGGGGAGGGGCCCTCTGCACAGTGGGCACAGGCCAGCCACTCACAGGTGGCCACGCCCCAAGTGGAGGAGTGGCACAAAACACGGGGGTCCCCTTAACTCCAAGCGGCCCCCCACTGAGAGAGCCCCTCACAGTGTAACAAAGGGTCATCTCGTATCACAGGCAGCAGTGAGGAAGGTCCTGTGGTCCCCACTCAGTGCAGTTGAATGTCTTCTGACAGACTCCAAGCTCAGTGCCCGCCTCGCAGACCCACCACGACCACCCCCACAGCTGCAGGCCCCCCAGAATGTGGGGGTTCAGTGCCCGCACACCACACGGACCCATGACCACCACCAACCATCCTTGGCTACAGGCCCACCAGAATGTGGGGTTCAGTGCTCGCACACCACATGGACCCACCACGACCACCATCCTCAGCTGAAGCCCACAAGAATGTGGGGGTTCAGTGCCCACACACCACACGGACCCATGACCACCACCATCCCTGGCTACAGGCCCACTTGAATGTGGGGATTCAGTGCCCACACACCACACAGACCCATGACCACCACCATCCTTGGCAACAGGCCCACCCGAATGTGGGGGTTCAGTGCCTACACACCACACGGACCCATGACCACCACCATTCCTGGCTACAGGCCCACCCGAATGTGGGACAACAAAGACCAGCGAGAGGGGGCACCGTCTCCAGGCAAGTCTCCAGATGAGTGAGCACCAGCATTACCTGGCAGGGCTGCTCACACGGATGGTTCAGACAGACACCACCAGAGAAAAAGCAAAAACCACGTGCTGGCAAGAATGTGAGGAATAAAATCCGTCTTTTAAAATGTGTGTGTGGTGTTTTTTTTTTAATCCTCACCCGAGGACATTCTTGCATTCATTTTCAGATAGAGCGGGACAGAGAGAGGAAGGAAGAGAGAGAAACATCGATGTGAGAGAGACACATCCAGTGGTTGCCACCCACACAACCCCAACCGAAGCTGGGGACAAACTACAACCGAGGTACGTGCCCTTAGCGGAAACCGAACCCGGGACTCTCTGGTGCGCAGGCCGACGCACTGCTGAGCCAAACAAACCAGCCAGGGCTAGAATCTGAATTTCTAACAAGTTTCTAGGCAAGGCTCTGGTCCAGGGGCCACAGTTTGAGAACCACTGTCACAGGGCGAGCAGAGGGAAGGAATTCAACACCCCAAGTCTAACAAAAATCGGGAGAGCATGAATGCTGCCGCCTTGGTGGTGGTTATTCACCAGATGGGGAGTGAACAGCGACAGGCCAGAGACAACTTTCCCACCAAAATAATGTGAAATGGGGCAGCAGCTGTCTTCAGTCTTCAACGAGAATGAACGTTCCTTCTAGGCTCATGGGGCTGCTTCTTCCTTTGATTAACAACGTCTTTAAGCGACTCTGTGTTTCTGACATTGACAAGCTGTTCTCAGGAAGTGGAAGCAGAAGTTTCCTCTCCTTATCGTGGCCGTGGCCTCAGAAATGAGCACTCAGCAGCTCCGTGGTCAGGGAGCACCAGGAACACCCCGAACACCCGCATATCGGGAAGCAGAGTTCTCGGGGGCGGCACGCCCTCACAGGGACCCGCCACCTGTCAGTTCTTTCATTACCCCTAACTCTGGAGCTCCATTAAACAGAAAGGTGTCACGGCCTCAGTTTCCTTAACCTTACCATTTCTTCTCATAACTCATTTCACGTAACATCGCAAGATTCTGAGACGAGGAAAATCACCCCGACCGGATCACCTGTATCCATTCATGTTCATTTGGCTCCCGCACGCACGGGCTACAATAGACGAGTGTTTTAATATCCAGCGTGTTTCTGCACGGCCCGTTCTCTTTACATTTTTCCAGCAAAAGCAGAAACCTCCGAAGTTCCTAGCCACTCAAATGATCACAGTGAATGTCATTTGCTTCCAGTAGACCTTTCTTCTAATGTACTTTTAAATACAGTTACATTCGGCACTGGCTGGTTTGGTTCAGTGGTAGCGTGTCAGCCCGCAGACCAGTGAGTCCTGGGTTTGATTCCAGTCAAGGGCATGTACCTGTGAGTGGCTGGCCTGTGCCCACTGTGCAGAGGGCCCCTGGTCTCCGGCCCTGGTCAGGGCTGTGCAGAAGGCAACCAATCGATGTGTTCCTCTCACATCGATGTTTCTCTCTCTCTCCCTCCCTCTCTCCCTTCATCTTACTCTATCTGAAGATAAATGAAAAAATATCCTCAGGTGAGGATAAAATAAATAAATAGTTACATTTATTTCTGTAGCAAATATTCCAACAAACAGGAAAGAATGGACAAGATCGGAAACCATGTACCCACCGAGAGTTCGCTGCACACCGCTGTGCTACACCGTTTCGGAAATGGTTTCTGAAAATGTCTTAAATAAACTGCCAGAGATGCGCGCCTCCCACTTCCTATCGCAGATTCGCCCGTGTCCCGGGGCCGATGGACGGACTGCCAGGCAGGGCTGTGCACCGTCTCTACGTAAGGCTCCAAGGGCACGGGCAATATTATACTTCATTACATACAGGAAACATACAACACCGTTCTTTTTCCCACTGGCTCTTTCAACTTTTCTGTATTGGAATAGAGAATACGGAAAGGCGTACGTATCCAAACGGTTCCGCTGAATGGCTGCCTCCTGACGCCGCGTCATTTCCTGTGGTGGTATACGTGTGTGGAACCGGGCGTCAGTTCCTGTAACTGCCTTCTCCATCGCCATGCCAGGTGCGGCCCACCGCGGGCAGCAGGTGGTCTCTCGCTGCAGGGACACGCGCGCTCGGATCGCAGTCCTCCACCCGCCTGCTGCCCTAGGCCTCTAGGAGGCTCCCGTGTTTCCGGTTACGCACAGCACCGCTCAGGACACGTGGACACGTTTCTTTTGGGTACCTGCCTAAGAAGGAAACCGCAGGCTCCCAGGGTGTCATGTGCTCAGCTCAGGAAATACTGCCAGTTTTCCGACCTGATCGAGCCAACTGCGCTCCCATCGGCCGGCCCCGCGGCCTCCCCTGGCCGCGTCCCCTGCCTCCGCGGCGGGCCTCTTTGCCGGGGCTCCCTGTCCTCACCACCGCTGCTGCGTGTTCCGGAGAAGCTAGCGGGACTACCACCCGCGGGACTGCGCCACGTCGCAGGTGTGCAATGACAGCCACTGCGCCTTCTCTGGTCAACTGCTTCCT